CAAATCGTGAACACATATACATAATTTTGTACGCGATATAGTCTGCTAGTGAAGCAAGTTCCATTGAATGCAGATCTAAAATGTATCATTTTGAAAGGTTTTCACAGAATTTTCTATATGTAACCAAACTGAGAAATTAGTAACCTTGGCAAAACCAATCATCGAAATCAAAGATCCAACTAAACTACAGTAAAACACGCTTATAACGAAGTGCCAGGGAGGACGATTTTGCTTCGTTATAATAGTAATCTGTTATATCCATAAGTTCACAGTATATTTTAAAGCCACGGGAATGAAAATCGCTTTACTGTAAGCGTCAATTCATTATAAGTGTGTTCGCCATAAGCGTGTTTCACTGTATATGACATCTGAATGACTTCAGCTTTTCGTCGTCAGTTTTTCGTATACTTGCTGACACTAGTGCACAAAATAAGCGATATGGCAAATGATCTTGCAAAGGGAAGTGTGTCAACTATCAGATCACTTCCGCAGTGTACTCAACAGGTACAGAGACAAGACTCTGTACAGGACCAGCAGCATTGCAGCTGACAAGCCTAACTCGTTCTATCCATATAGACATTCTTTTTATCTTATATCTAGCTATTAAATTAATTAAGAGGATTCTTAAGTGTTTTTTTTTTTTGCAGAATATTTATAATTCATAAAGGGTTTCAAATGATATACACGTATACAAACATAATCTGCTGATTATTAAATATTCTCTTGATAAGAAGGATCAGGGGCCTATATACTAGTATATAGGTCCCTGGAAGGATATACGGAAAGTAAGATTTGGGTCAGACTGTTAATATATTTACGGTCTTCGACTCAGGCCTAGGAAACTCTTCCACAAGGGGCACTATACACGTTATAGGTACTACGGAACTTAAAATGAATATAAAAGGGGGAGGCCTTCATTAATAAATACTTTGCTACCGAAACCCTAAATAATTTAAAAGCATAGGGAAAAATGTCCATTCATGTACAGAAAACGATTACTGCTTACATCTTTAAGAGATTCCCACACATCGGAGGATTCCAAATGAAAGGAAAACTGGGAACAAGGAAGTGGACAAAGTTTAACATTGAATTCAAAGATAAATTACTCGTTGCTTTGTACAGAGTGAATACGCGTGCCAAAGGTGTCAAGAGTTCTGTTCCAGAATTTGACCAGGTGAAAATAAACATTTAACCATACACCTGTGAATTTTTATAAAGTATATATTGTGATAATATTTTGAAATTAAGAATGTCATGAATACTTACACTAATTTACGTAATATTCCGTTCACATACAGGTAAACTATAAACTTCCATTGTGTCTTTTGTTTGTTTACATTGGACAGTCAGCTGATCGCTGATAAGATGGCAAATAGGTAAAAATCCTGCGTTACCTCTCAATATCAATGAACGCTGAAAAAATAACTTTAAAAAAAGTCCTTTTGCTATTTATTCGGAAAATAAAATATCACTTCAAATTACAGGGATATATCTTATTTCAGAGAGATATCTCTAGAAAAACTTGGATATATCTCAACTTAAAGGGTTATCTCTCTAAGAAAGAGATATCTCTTTACGTGACCCCCTAAATTTCCAGTCAGGTGCTCTACCAGCTGAGCTATCTGGCCACCGGCGATCGAACCCGTCTGACCGCCATAACTGTAACCAGAAAGAATAAAATGTGATGGACCAGACCAGGATCCAAACATGGGCCCCCTGAATCACTAGTCAGGTTGACCACCAGGTCTGACCTTCCTTATAGGTCAAAATGGCTCCTCCCTGGTAGGTCTTTCACCTGTCACTTCCAGGGCATGGTCAACGCACCAAATATAACAGGGAAGGAGAAATATGCAATGGATCAGACCAGCATTGGAACACGGGCCTCCTGAATCACTGTCAGTTACTCTACCAACTTGAGCTATCTGACCATTGGTGATCGAACCTGTCTGATTGTCACCATAATCATGTGAACAGTTTACCTGTTACATGTAAATGAGTATAAAAGAAGATTATATTTGATATAACACAAATAGAATTTTCATAATCTAATTCAGCTTCTCCCTGAGGTCTGAACCATGGGCCCATTGGCCATGAATTTCACATTTTTTAAAGACAAGGTAGCAGTTTGCCTGCTAAATTCCTATGAGTAGAGAGGTATTTCATATATATGACCAACTACGTCCCAGCCTGTGGACTAAACCATAGATTCAGGAGCCATGAATTTCAGATATTGAGTCAATATTTTCGGTGAAATTAGAGGGAGGTCTGTAGATGCAGATGGGTGTCCAAAACTTACTTGCCCAAAAGGCGCCGAAGCTCAGTAGGGCTAAAAAAATGACTCGGAAACATCTCACAAAATTTGATACGTTTTCTTTTGTATCGTTATACCTGTAAATATTTTCTTAAAACGTATTTAACACAAGAGGCCCATGGGCCACATCGCTCACCTGAGCACATTGGCTAGGCAAAAGCACAAATCAGTTCAGTATTGAAAAGATTATGGGGGGGGGGGGGGTTGGGCTTGAATTTTAAACTACCTGATGATGCTTACATGTCAGTATAACAAATGGCTTTGTAATGGCTTTGTTGTACTTGAGAAGAACTTGAAAGTTTTCCCATATATTCCTTTGTAAAAATTTGATCCACCACTGTGGCTCCTCCCTATCCCAGAGGTCATCATTTTAACAAACTTGAATCTACACTACCTGAGGATGCTTCCATATCAATATGACTAAGCATAGCTTTACAGTTCTTCAGAAGAAATATTTTTTCTATATGTTCTTATGTAAAAATTTTTAATCCCCCATTGGGCCCCACCCTACCCCCGGGGGTCATCATTTGAACAAAATTGAATTTACACTAACTGAGGATGCTTCCATATCAAAATGACTAAACATGATTTTCAGTTCTTTAGAAGAAGATATTTTCCTATATGTTCCTATGTAAAATTTTCTATCCCCCATTGTGGCCCATCCCTATCCCAAGGGGTCATCAATTAAAAAACTTGAATCTACACTACCTGAGGATGCTTCCATATCAGAATGACTAATCATGGCTTTGCTGTTCTTCATCAGAATATATTTTCCTATATATTTCTATTTAAGACTTTGATCCTCCATTGTGGCCCCACCCTACCCCAGGGGGTCATGATTTGAACAAACTTGAATTTACACTACCTGAGGATACTTCCACATAAATATGATCAATCAGGGCTTTGCTGTTCTTGAGAAGAAGATTTTTAAAATATTTCCTATATATTTCTATGTAAAACTTTGATCCTCCATTGTGGCCCCGCCCTTCCCCCAGGGGTCATGATTTGAACAAACTTGAATCTACACTACCTGATGATGCTTCCATATAAATATGACCAATCAGGGCTTTGCTGTTCTTGAGAAGAAGATTTTTAAAGATTTTTCCTACATATTTCTATATAAAACTTTGATCCTCCATTGTGGCCCCGCCCTACCCCCAGGGGTCATGATTTGAACAATTTGAATCTACACTACCTGAGGATGCTTCCATATAAATATGACCAATCAGGGCTTTGCTGTTCTTGAGAAGAAGATTTTTAAAGATTTTTCCTATATATTCCTATGTAAAACTTTGATCCTCCATTGTGGCCCCGCCCTACTCCCAGGGGTCATGATTTGAACAAACTTGAATCTACACTACCTGCTGATGCTTCCATATAAATATGACCAATCAGGGCTTTGCTGTTCTTGAGGAGAAGATTTTTCCTATATATTTCTATGTAAAACTTTGATCCTCCATTGTGGCCCCGCCCTTCCCCCAGGGGTCATGATTTGAACAAACTTGAATCTACACTACCTGAGGATGCTTCCACATGAGTTTCATCTTCCCTGGCTCTGTGGTTCTTGAGAAGAAGATTTTTAAAAGATGCCATTAATTTTTCACTAATTCTTTATTATCTCCCCTTGAAAGAGGACATGGCCCTTCATTTGAACAAACTTGAATCCCCTTCACCCAAGGATACTTTGTGGCAAGTTTGGTTGAAATTGGCCCAGTGGTTCTTGAGAAGAAGTCAAAAATGTGAAAAGTTTACAGACGGACGGACAGACAGATGGACGGACAGACGGACTACAGACAAAATGTGATCAGAAAAGCTCACTTGAGCCTTCGGCTCAGGTGAGCTAAAAAGTTGTGATAATTGATGAGAGCTTTCATTTGATATCAGGAAAAAAGGGCTGACCCCTCTATTTAGGGGCCCAGAGGGGCCAAAAGGCTTTTATCTATAACTCTTTAACGATCAATATTTTGTTATGAATTACTGTAGCAAAAATGTTTATACTAACAATTTGCAACTATATAAGATTTTGATCATATTAATATTATTACTAATCAAGGGGGCCAGAATACTAAATCTTTGACGCTTTATATCTCGAAAAGGGAAATATTTTGATAAGCAGTATTGAACAAAAGATGTTAAAAAATAATGTTCTTAACAATATGCACCTTTCAATTTTTGCAAAACGGCCCCATTAAGGACTTCAAGGGCTGGCCACTATATATTTCTATTCTAATATCAGGTTATACAGAAATAATTTGTGTTCCGTTTTGGATATTAACCAATCAGAGGTTAGAATACAAACAAAATTAAATTATTCAAAAATAGCAAACAAATTACGAAAATGGACAAAAACATTTATGCAGTTATTGTAACATACTAAATGCAATATGAAGCAAATCTCATTACTTGCAAGTTATCAGATATCATGGTTCACATTTACAAATTCATAATCATGAGTGGTGAATAACAAAATTCCTTTATGCTACTTCATAGTTCAACACTCAGTATCATGATCACCTGACTAAGTAACAAAGCCTGACCTAGACATTGCAGCTAAAATTAAACATTGACAGTCACTATAAGAGATACAGTGCTGTACTTCACTACTTCATTATCTCTGATTTTTTTCTTATTGTTTGCTTCTTACTTTTTTTTTAATTAGGAAATGGATTCTAAAAAAATATAGACACCAGAAAGTTTTATAAATTTATTTTTGTTTGAACATTAACATAATTCAAGGTATGACCTGTACCTCTGAAGTATGTAACAAAAATGTAACAAAAATAGACATTTAATACCTTTTTTTCCTTTTAGATATTAAATCCCCAAGAAATGCAACTTATTTTATAAAAAAAATCATGATATTTTTCCTCCCAGCCCATTAAGGGTTGTATATATAGCTGGCATCAATCTAACTTGTACATGTATATTACTGTATCATTTCTTCTCTACCAGTAAAAATCCTCCGTCAGAAGATTTACAAAATTTTGTTATCAGGTGATAAGAAAACAAATGGTAAATTCCTTTTCATGATAAGAGAAGCTTAACCTCATCTACTGAGCTGGAATGAGAGATGAAGATTGTATTGAGGTCCTTTTAGATCTACAATTTATATACTAGTAACTTCATATTAAGAGGTTATAAACCCCTGAATACTTGAACAACATACAGAAATAAAGTCAGTCTGTCTTTTGAGCTGCCTCTTTTAACATTTATTACAACACAGATATTTTTGTTTCATCTTCTTCGTTTTGGAGGCGGGACATCAGGAGTAGCGGGACTGGCATTTGCTGAAGGCGTGTTTCTCGTTCTTTTCCTCTTTGGTGAGTTTTCTGGAGTGTTTGCATGAAGAACATTGCTTGTGTGTTTGTTTTCAATTTGCTTGGATTCATTTTTCTCCGATTTTCCATGTTTTGTTCCTACTGATATAATAAGTAATGCAGTGAGGTGGAAACACATTAATTACATGATACATGTAGTGATTCCAATTTTAAAACAAGAATCCTGATTTATACATATATACCTGAGTCAGATTTTGATTCCGATTTAAAACATACATGTATACCTGATTTAAAACATACATGTATACCTGATTTAAAACATACAGTATACCTGAGCCAGACTTTAATTAAGATTTAAACATATTCCTGAGTCAGACATTGATTCTTATTTAGTTATTTACCTGAGTCAGAAAGCATTTACCTGAGTCAGACTTTGATTCTGATTTAAACATATTTCTGAGTCAGACTTTGATTTAGTTATTTACCTGAGTCTAATTTTGATTCTGATTTAAACATTTACCTGAGTCAGACTTTGATTCTGATTTGTCTTCTTGTGAAAAATCAGTAGCATTTCTGGAAGTGTCTTTGACCTTGAAATCTTCTCCAGGGAGGTCAAAATCAGACTCTTTGTTTGGGAATGGTATGATTTCTGATTCATTCTTAAGAGAAATAAATTCAGAGATTTAACATATTGTATAGTACCAAATTAACAGGAATAGCCATGATCTATGTTTATTAATCATTCACATTGCTGAAGGGAAAATATGGAGAAAACCAAAGCATCACAAAAATTGTGCATATTATACTTTTTTTATTACAGTGAATCTCATTTAGTATGAACATTGATATAGTGAATTTACACTGTTGAATCCCCTGTAAAATTCTTTACAATTCTTTGTCAAATTTTACTGATTTAATGAACTCAGATATAGTGAATTTACGGATATGGAGAATTGATTTTGTGTCCCAAGAAGTTAAAAATAACGAAATTTACATATTTTATAACAAACTTTTAAAGATCTTAATATTAAAATATTGATCTGAATTTTTATGTTGTAATTTTACATTTAAAATTCAATTCATCCAAAAACTTTTGCACTCCACAATAACTTTTGTATTTAATTCTTCCCAAAATACATTTGGTAGGCATACTTGAAGGAAAAAATCTATATTATGAAATCGCTATACACATATATAGTTTTAGAAATTCTTTTTATGGATATAATGAATTATGTATATAGCAAAGTAAATTCACAGGTCCCAAGGACTTTGGAATAACCAAGTGTTACTGTATTGTTATTTATTTATGTAAATATGTTATACAGTCAAACTTCATTATCTCAATCTCAATGGGACTGAGAAAAACTTTTAGATATCCAAAGGTTTGAGATATTGAGAGTAAAATACTTAAAAAAAATGCTTGGGACTTCCAAATCACTTCAACATATCCATGGTATTTGAGATATTTGTGTATTGTGAGATACCACAGTTCAGCTGATTGTGTATACTAACAAACATCAATATAAAAATTAACGGTAGCACACTATAACTTGCAGATGCCTGCGACTAGCATGAGATGGTGATCATGATTATTGTTCTAATGAATACAGTGTGAACAGACCGAAGGTCAACTTTTAAGATGTTAATGGCAATATGTCTTATGTTGAACTAAATTCAACATACCAGTAAATAAACACATCAATAATATGTGCAAACAATCCTGGACTGAGATGTGCAGCTTGATTAACCGATGTCTGTTTAAGGTTTCTGCATTTATAACCAAGTACTAGACTAACTGCTTTTGAACAGGTGACATTTCTATAGTTTAAGAACATATTCTTAACATTGTTAATATATTTATGGATTTTTAACATAGCAATTGTGCTTGAGAAGTATTAAGTGATATAAGAAATATCAATACAAGAGGCCCATGGGCTATAATGCTCACCTGAGTAAGTTATACCCTGCTAGTCTTTTCAGATTTTTTTCTTTATATGAGAATTGTTACCCCATATTGTAACCTAGCTCTATCTTAAGGGGTCTCTGAATCTACACAACATGGGAAAGCTTCAACATCAGCATGACTAACAAGGCCTTCCAGTTATCAAGATTTTTTTTTCTATTATGACTCAAATAAGGTATAATCCCTATCAACCACCCCTGCCCCTATAAGCGCCCCCTAGGTCTTTTTCAATTGTCAGGAAATAAGGCCCCCCCCCCCCCCACAGTGATTAAAATCATCTAGAATCGTATCGAAAGTGTGCCATAATTTGAAGAAAGTGAAACTGAAACTTGATTATTGGGTAACTCTTACATAAAGTATTACTGATAGTGAAAGATTTTTAGAACGACCTAATAATTATGTATTTCTGAAAGTGAAAGTTACCTTCAAAATTTGTTCTCCTTGTCTATTCTCTAATTTCTTGGTGGAAAAATGAAACATTTAGCATAATTTGAGTGGATTATCTTAACTTAAAGGAAAATTAGACAATCTTTTAGTTGTTCTCTGAATTCATTTTTTTTTTCCACAAGATTTTTTGAAGTTAAAATATGACATTAAATATCATAAAGAGAATACCAAAATAAATGCCCCCTTTTCGCAATTTTCTATGCGCCCAGGGCGGTTAATAGGGATTATATGGTAACTCACAAGATTTGAATAGAAATCTCACACCGAGCACTCTGGTGTTTAGAATTTCATTGAACCTAACTTCCTGTTGCATTAATTACCTGATTCATGTTAATCAATAAGACACCAAAGATAATTTCTTACCAGTGCCTGTAAGTCATACATAGAACTAAGGTGATCCCAGATGTCTTTGGATGAAATTTTCCTGCTGGATGAGCTGTTCAGCTTTTCATGAATAAACAACATTTGAAAATGCTTGTTAACACCTGTAAATAAAAATTACTCTATCAGTTATGCAGTCTTTTATACTGCAACATTGAACGAGCAATAACAACAAACCACTGATGATGATTTGATTTATTTGGAGTGGTGTATTTAAAAAAGTCACACTTTCCTGACGCAATACTGTGGAATCATTTTAATTCGTGGGGGTCAATGTTCGTGGACAAGCAAAATTTTACTTGTTCGAGGGGACATAATTTCGTGGGTTACTCGTTTATACGGTAGATTCAATTAATCAATATGTTTACAAAATAAACGTTCGTGGGGATGTAAATTCGTGGGTAAGGGTGACCCACGAAATCCACGAACATTGGTCCCCCACGAACAATGATGATTGCACAGTAATTTTCAACTTTGCACTGTTCTAAACACAATCGAGGGAAAAATTGCTTTTCAAAGTGTGATTCCTTCAGAGCATTTACAATCAAAGTTCTTAAAGTTTTGGGCTATTTGGGACCAAACAGTTAATTATGAAGGAAGGCCAATTCTGGTGAACAAGAAAATTGATTGGTAATAATTCAGCAATGTGAAGTAATCATACTTATCTATGACTTACCATACATGACATTGTGCAGCTTTTTAATTTCATGCAGTCATATTTACGACATTGCACCTTTCTCAAATATTGTGATTTTAATACAAAATTAACATTATCTGTAATGCCTATGGGTCTGAAATTGTGCTTTTACGACAATAATTAGGAAAAAAACAATCAAATGGCTCTAACGACATCACTGTTTTCCGATTTTGTAAGCAATGCATGACGCTGAAGAATGACATATGACTCGCTTGTATATTCAAAACCTCCATGGATATATATATTTTAATAAAAACTGTTGACAGAACATCAAAATAAACATACTAGGAATCTAAACATTGCTATTTTTTACCAAAATAATTCATCTGTGCAAATAATTCATCTGCACAGAAATATGCATATACTGCAATATTGCAATTTTAGAGGTATTGGGCATTGTAAAAATAAACTTTGTAACTATTCCTACACCAACCTAGATGGTCAACTTTTTTGAAATTTCACAATTTGGCGACTTTTTACAATAAATTTCATGTACTTGGCTGAAAAAGAAATCTCTAGGGCAGAAATAAAAAAAATATGGAAAAATGTGATAATTTGGCGCTTTTCTAGCAAATTCCCATAGGGTCCTATAGTAAAATTTGACAATTTTTGAGATGGCCCCATAAGAAAGCGGGACGGTAAACATTCGTTAATCTTAAAACAATTAATACAATAGTACATATTTATTCAAGAAAATTTATCAAAATCTCTAGGGTAGAAAAAATTAGACTTGGCCTCGATAAATAAATCATGCTCACAATTTACAAAAGTACCAGATGCATAAAACAAAATGCCAATTGCAAGATATTTGTAAGACAATGAGTGTTCAATTTCATTACCTTTGAATAAGTTTGTCAATTTTGTATTTTTATAAAAAGAATTTCAATCTTTGTCTATTTTAATTTTACATTTAGACAATATTTATGACAAAAATTAGACTATTTATTTAGACAACAACAGAGATCCCCCTGACTTGATGACAATAATACAAAAGCATCAGCACACAGTAAACAACTAAGAGATTCATTATTAAGAGAAACTTGGTCATCTTGACAGTCAAATTTATCTGAATTTTAAATAGATTTGGACTAAAGTTACCTCCCTTATTAAGAAACCTCTCTACACCCCCCCCCCCCTCCAGCAATCACAAGCGTCTAAATAGCGTAAGTTCAATATAATCATCACGATCAGACAACTTTACGTCGCAAAATTAGATCAACTATTACATACCAACTGGCTTGTGACCCCTCATCGCATGAAACAAGCTTACTTCTGCGTCCACAGGCCAATTTCCTTTCTCCAGTTCCACCATTTTTATACTCACTTACTTTCGTATAAATAGTTTTGATTTAGAAAATAGTTTATTGAACCTTTTAACACTCTACTGCATTTACATATTATTATTGTTATTAATAATGCACTATATATCAATGCTTTTAAAAAATCATTCCTGAAACCAACGTGTATAAGTTTTTTACGCAAGTAAATGATATCTAGCTTTACTTGCCTCCATGCGGCAGATTTCCCTCGAAATTTCAATTTGTGTGCAAGTTTTATCGTGAATAATGTATGAAGAGGAAGATTGGGATGCAGAATTAGAGGGCGGAACAACATCAACTATAACAGTAAAACCTCAGTATTGTGCTTGGGATAACACCTACACTCAGTCTCCCTCTGGCAGTCAACGGCATTCACCACAGAAAATGCAACCTGAAAGTTCAAACGGATTTGTACGGTCACGGGGCAGAGGGAATTGGTCTACAGGGAGATCTGACAGAAGTGACTGGCGAAATCGTGACGAGGAAGATTCTTTTGAAAGCAGAGGGTTTGGTCGAGGGGATAGAGGGCGGGGTAGAGAAAATGGGCATCGCGGAAGACGGGGAGGATCATTTGGTGGTGGACGGTCACAGAGAAATGAGAGCAGTGATAGATCAAATGGAAATAGCTCAGCAGTGTATGTTGAATCCTCCCTAGTAGGAAGAATCATAGGTAATTGTAAGGATATTTGTTGCAATGGAAGTAAATACAATAAGGCCAAACAAAAAAATATGTGTGGTTCCGGTTACACCTCCAAAAAAATTAGGGTAGGTAGGTAGGGATTTTTTTTTTTTTTTTTTTAACAAAATGATTTTCTTAATTTTTCTAAATAATACTTATCACTACTTTGCAAATGACATTTAGATGTGGTGTGATAATATACTAGTCAATATTGGTAGGGGACACCTACATGCTAGCTTGCTTTGGATTTAACACTAATAAACACTTGCACTATGTTGTGCAAGGGGGCCGTCATTGCTGAAACTAAAACTTAAACCGGAGCCATTGATGGAAATTGGGGGAAATTCCGGAAAACACATGAAAATTGCCAAAAAAAAGTTTAGGGTCGGGGGTATAAAATAGGGACGGTCGGGTAACCGGAACCACACATATTTTTTTATTTGGCCTAAGCATGAAACCATATGAAGCAGAACAAGTCCAGCTCAATCTCTTGATTAGGTTTGGACCAATCTTCCAAATGGGATAGAATATCCAAACGCGTTATTATGACCCAATTGAGCTATAAGTAAATACATGTATTCCCAATGGGCTGTACACTGCAATATTTTTTATCTACAATAGAAAGACTTGTACGTTTCCACAAGATGTTCAGTGCAGTGGTAAAGAACAATATATATACTTATCGTGTACTCTGAAAGAAAATTTACATGGTATTCATCCCTATTTATCATAATAGCTCATATCCTGAAGTATGTGCTATGTATTGTGCATAATGACCTTTGCAGCTGCAATGTCCACAAATTAACAAAAGTGTCTGTGATTTTTAGCTCACCTCAACGAAGTTGGGGGAGCTTATGTAATACCCTCGGCGTCAGCGTCCCAGGTTAAGGTTTTTGGAGCAGTTTTCTTTTCAAGTACTTCTATGGCCAATATTAGTCAGAGATTCATGGAGGGTGCTTCTAGTGTGTTTTATTGTACCAGTCAAGGTTTCAGATGCTGCGATTTCAGCTAAAGAATGACCAGGTTAATGTTTTTGGAGCAGGTTAAAGTTTTTGGAGTAGATCTCATTTCCAAGTAACTATAAGCCCTATATTGACCAAACTTGCATGGATGATACATCTAAGGATGCACACTACTGGACTTGCTTGGATGCTGGATCTGACCTATATTTTCCGGATGAGTGACCAGGTTAAGGTTTTTGGAGCAGATGTCATTTCCAAGTAACTAAAAGCCCTACATTGACCAAACTTGCATGGATGATACATCTAACTAAGGATGCACACTACTGGACTTGCTTCGGATGCTGAATCTGACCTATTTTTTATGGATGAGTGACCAGGTTAAAGTTTTTGGAGCAGATGTCATTTCCAATTATCTATAAACCCTATATTGACCAAACTTGCATGTATGATACATCTAAGGATGTACACTACTGGACTTGCTTCGGATGCTGAATCTGACCTATATTTTATGGATGAGTGACCAGGTTAAAGTTTTTGGAGCAGATGTCATTTCCAATTATCTATAAACCCTATATTGACCAAACTTGCATGTATGATACATCTAAGGATGTACACTACTGGACTTGCTTCGGATGCTGGATCTGACCTACATTTTCCGGATGAGTAACCAGGTTAAAGTTTTTGGAGCAGATGTCATTTCCAAGTAACTATAAGGCCTATCTGAACCAAACTTGCATGGATGATGCATCAAGGGACGAACAATCTCAAAACTTGCTTCGGATGTTGGATTAGACTTACATTTTCTGGATGAGAGACTAGTTTTAAGCTTTCAGATAAGTCTATTCCCAAGTAACTCAAACCCTATCAGACCAAAATTGCATAAATGTTGCATCTAGGGATGCACACTCCTAGATTATTAGTTTAGTGTGAGACTTTGCCTTACTTAAAGACAACATTCGTTGAGGTGAGCTCTGTAATCTCTGATTACCTATGTTTTTTCAACAAACAATCTGGTAGATATCTTGAACAATTAGTTATCACGATATGAAATAATCACAAATGGATATGATCTTTGTCATGCTTCAAACTTGGATTAAATATATAGAGCACCATTACAACTTACATTGTAATGATACATATCTTTCAGAGGAAAAGAAAATGTAATTAGTTGCCAAAATTGAATAATATCATCACCTTTAGATAGATTCTTTAATTTTGTGCATAATCTATGATATATTTTACAAACTAAATTCTCATTTTAAATAATTTGAGTTTTTTAAAAAGAGAACTGCAAAAGGTGGACATTTATTAAAAGACAGTCAAAAAAGTACAGGAAGTATGACATTTTCATATATACGGAAATGCAGAATATTTCTATTTGCATACTTACAAATACTGTTGGTTAATTGGGAAGTGCACTGGTTTGAAAAAATCGAAATTTGAAATTGTAAACTCCCTGTTTTTTTACAAGATAAAATTTGAGCTTGAAAAACACAACTGCACCAACAAATATTTGATACTCATCAGAAAATGCTTGTAGGGTTAATTGAACAAGAACATGAAGAAGGTGAGTTCAGCTCCATTTCATGTTCATGGAATACAAAACAATCTTTTCTTTTAACATGTAAGACGGGGATTACCTATGAAAGAGACTGATATATATACCCTCTGGTATGATCTGATGCTTGTATAGGCTAGAGTTTAATGCCTTGTTTCTTACTTAAACTACAGGCAAAGGTGGATCTAAAATCAGAGAATTACAGGACAACAGTCAAGCAAGAATTCAGGTCTGTAAATATATCAGCAATAACATGTTGCCTGTTGTAACAGATGAAAGAACTTTGGATATGAATTCATTTTCAACATACATTAACTAAACTTATGTTACATTTTAGTCACACTTTTAAATAATGCATAATTCTAATTATGCAACCAGTAGAGTTCTCATGTTAATCAAATGAACATCACAAGTCCATTTCCTCTTTGGATTGTTTTCAATGACTGCAAATACCTTTTATATTAAACCATATTATTGTGGTGGATATTTTTTAGGTTACGAGAGAAGAAAATGATGACGGAGAGATTAAGGTGGATATATCAGGATCTCCCGAGGCCATAGCAAAAGCTAAAGAACTGATAGATGAAACTATCAACCCAGTGAGCAGAGTGACAAAATCTTTTGGAAGTAAGACAATGTGACTGAGTATGTATATGTAGCATCTAACACAGTTAACAAATCATTGATTCATTCAGCCTTCAATCATGACTCTCTTGAACAGAATCTGTTCATTTATTTGGACAATTGTAGATCCCGCAAACTAAAGAATCAAGTGATCGTTTGATACTGTTGTTTGTTTTAGGTCTTTCTTCTTTCTCTTTGTAATTCTTCACATTTCAATTTGCCTATAACAACTGCATACCCAATGTTGCAAGTTTGAAAGATGTTCTTCTGACAAAAATTTTGTAACGTTTAAGTAAACAGACAAAGTTTTGTATGATTTAGACAGGGTGAGCTGATTATACATGTACTTGCACCTTTGCTCAACACTAATTTTGAGGTATTGTTCCTATAGAAGTCTTAATCCAGACTATTTCTGTGGAATCCAAAGTTCACAGTCATTCTCCTTGTTCGCTCAGACATTATTTGGAAATCCTGTACATTGCCCATTATTTGTATTAACTTAATTAACAGGTACTTACAAATATACAGTAAAACATGATACTAGCAAAGTGCCAGGGACCAACAAGTTTGATTTGTGACAAACATAATTCGTTATGTCCTTTCAGTTCACAACAAATTTTAAATGAAAATCACTTCGCTGTAAGCGTAAATTCATTATAAGCATGTTCACTATAACCATGTTTTACTATATTCGATATGTCTCGTTTATTTTGTATTGTAGATGTAACTTTCATTTGTATTTGTGAGATTTACAGTTTGATGATTCATTTTGTGTCTTGCTTCTTATTGAATGAACATTGAGGTCAATACCAGTTACAGAATTGAGGAGAACTTTCGAAATGATTATTCACAAATAATGTAGTTAGCCTATTAAAGTAATTTAAACTTTTGTAGGGATGAACACTGATCAAACGGATTCCAGCAATGGCAGTAACCCAGCACCGATGATAAACTGGGCGATGATACGAGCCAATAAGGAGGCCAATGAGAAAATAAAATTTGAAGGTTCTGTCACAATTCTTCAGGAATTCCATGTTTTTTTGTGATCTTTTTTCAATATTCTACATGTAGATCTGTCACAAACACCTTTATTCCTTGTCAGCCATCATAAATTTGTGTCACGTTCACACCTTATATTTACTGTTAATACAACAAAGTCAAGAACCATGTATTCATTATAATGTAAATCTTCCTTTCATGTAATCTGATATATATATCTAGGTCTCCCAGAAATAAGAAAGAATTTCTATATAGAAGATCCAGCTGTAGCTAACATGCATCCAGAGGAGGTGGCCCACATAAGGTAGGGGACCATTTGTTTCCGAAACTTCATAAAAATCCTTACAAACAAAGATACATAGCGGGTTCCAGTAAATGTTCAACCAAGCCTCTATCTTTACTCCTCACTAAGATATTAACAGTGGTGAAGGAGAAACTTCAAGAATACTGTGCAACAATATATTCGAGAAGTGGTGTAAATCAGATGTGGATACTTAAAAATTCCAAGGAACTTTTGGAAAATTTGAAATCACAAGATTTTACCAAAATCAACAGCTTAAAAACTTACGACTTTTCAACTTTGTACACAACCATTCCCCACGATAAAGTCCAGGCTTTTTGATATCATTGACAGCTGCTTTTTCAATAAAAATGGAACTCGTAAATATACTTACCTTGTCATTGGTCATTTGCAAAATTATTTTGTTAAAAAACATTCTGATTGTTCACACAAGTACTCTGAAGTTGACATTAAAATGATGCTTGAGTTTCTGATTGACAATATCTATGTGGTTTTTGGAGACCAGGTCTTCCAACAATCTATTGGAATTCCCATGGGTACCAATTGCGCCCCGTTATTAGCAGACCTTTTTTTTGTATTCATATGAAGCAGAATTTGTCCAAAATCTTGTACGTGAAAAGAAGAAAACACTTGCTGTGGCCTTCAACTCGACATTTAGATATATCGACGACGTATTGTCAATTAACAATAGCTATTTCCATTCTTATGTCGATATATCCTTGTGAACTTGAGATAAAAGATACCACGGAGTCTGACACATCTGTTTCATATTTGGATATTTTACTTGAAAAAGACGTTAATGGTAATCTAACAACCAAGCTTTATGATAAACGTGATGACTTTAACTTTTCAATCGTCAACTTCCCTTACTTATGCAGCAATATACCTTCATCACCTGCATACGGGGTATATATCTCTCAGTTGATTCGATACGCAAGAGCATGCTCTACGTATGTACAATTTCTAAAACGAGGTAAATTATTGACAAATAAGTTGATGAAACAAGAATATCAGCTGTCTCGTTTAAAGTCATCATTTCGTAAGTTCTATGGTCGATACAATGACCTTGTCAGCAAATACAATTTATCATTGAGTCAAATGCTGACTGACGTTTTTCACACTAATTGTTAGGCCATTATTTACACACTGAATTGTCGACGGATTTTTCCGTTATTTCCCGATCATGACAAGGAGCACACGGCGGGTGTGACCGGTCGGCAGGGGATGCTCACTCCTCCATGGCACCTGATCCCACCTCTGATGTTTGAAGGTCCGTGTTTGCCCTGCTCCCAATTTGTATTGATTAATGGACTTTTGAGCTTGAATACTGTTCGTTATCTCCATATATTTCATGCACAAGATTTCCAACCTCCTACAACCTACTACATAGGACTCACTGCGGGTGTGACCATTTGACAGGGGATGCTTACTCCTCCTAGGCACCTGATCCCACTTGTGGTGTCTCCAGGGGCCCATGTTTTGGCCATGTTCTTGATTCATTTTGTCTACAGTATTTAAGAGATTGATCACTGTTTTTCGTCTTCACCTTATATACATGCAGGTAACTGCCCTTATCTGGCAGGTGGTCTTACTTGTATATTATATACATGCAGGTAACTGCCCATATCAGGCAGGTGGCCTTTTATATATATGCAGGTAACCGTCCCTATCAGGCAGGTGACATTTATATAGTTACATGCAGGTAACTGGCCATATCAGGCACGTGGCCTTACTTATATATAGTTACATGCAGGTAACTGCCCATATCAGGCAGGTGGCCTTTTATATACATGCAGGTAACTGTCCCTATCAGGCAGGTGGCCTTACTTTTATATACATGCAGGTAACTGTCCATATCAGACAGGTGGCCTTTTATATACATGCAGGTAACTGTCCATATCAGACAGGTGGCCTTTTATATACATGCAGGTAACTGTCCATATCAGGCAGGTGGCCTTTTATATACATGCAGGTAACTGTCCCTATCAGGCAGGTGGCCTTTTATATACATGCAGGTAACTGTCCCTATCAGGCAGATGGCCTTACTTTTATATACATGCAGGTAACTGTCCCTATCAGGCAGGTGGCCTTTTATATACATGCAGGTAACTGTCTATATCAGGCAGGTGGCCTTTTATATACATGCAGGTAACTGTCCATATCAAGCAGGTGATCTTACTTTTGATGTACATAAATGTGATTGCCCATAGCAAACAGGAAATACAAGTCAGTCCTTAGCATTTGTCTTTGCAGATGTTTATTTTGATTAGAAATAAAGCAACTTATTGTTCAAATGTGATTTTTATAACCTTTTCAATTAAGGTAAAGGAATTATTAAGAATAGGATATTTGTCCATCAGGAAAAAATTATGCAAGCATCCACTATTTTCAGATGTTTTAAAATTATTAAAATACTAACACATTTTTTGAACCTTCCAGTCTAAACTAATTTCTAAAATAAATGCTCTACTGTTTGTTTTTTGTTCATTACAGAAAGACAAATAACAATGTTATTGTGAAGGACCTGAGTAAAGAGGGAAATAAAAGGATCCCTAATCCAGTCAGAACCTTTGAGGAGGCTTTCCAACATTACCGTCAGTCATATTTAGAGTTCTAATGACAAATCTGGGACAATTATATGAATGTATTAATTTATCTAGAGCAGAGAATAATTTTAAAGCATCTGTTAATACATGTACTTGTATTTATTTTGTAGCTGAAATTCTGGACACCATTTATAACCAGAATTTTAAAGAACCATCACCCATCCAGGTGAATGAATTTTGAAGATACCTTTATTTATACTTATCTGGAAGTGATTATTTCATTACAAAAGGTTTTTTGCCTCAAAACCTGGGTAAATCGTCCATATTAATTAAGTGTCCAGATTATTGAAAAGTAACTTTATGACTGTTAGATTTAAATCCCTGCTTTGTATGGATTATTGGTTGAGGCTCCACTGTACAGGAGTTTGTGTTCTTGGGAATAATTACCTTAGAAGTAAAATAGAAAATAGATATGTTGTGTTTTCCCAAACCTTTTTGACCCAGCTTTTTTGTACCAACTCTCAAAATTTTACTTTTATGCTTATTTTTATTGTGAATTTTATTTTCTACCCAGAAACAAGCATGGCCTGTGCTGTTACAAGGAGATGACTTGATAGGAATAGCACAGGTAAGGCACATTAAGTACAAACAAGTAAACAAAATATATACTGAGCATACACTTAATGAATTTTACTTTTTCAGACTGGAACAGGGAAAACTCTGGCATTCTTATTACCAGCATTTATACACATAGACCAGCAGCCAATGTAAGTTTTAAATTGATCTTATGGTGTTGGCAAACTCATTTATAACTTAAAATGGCTAGTCCTGTAGAAGTACATTTCTAAATTCTCTTAACTTTCTCTAAAATTTACAGACCACGAGAGGAGAGAGGTGGACCAAATGTCTTGGTTTTATCACCAACTCGTGAGTTAGCTCTACAGATAGAGGCAGAGGTTAAGAAATTCCACTACAGAGGAATAAAAAGGTGAGCATAATGCTATATATTCTGCTAAGCATTTGAGTTACTCTGTAAATTTACATTTTTTGGTTTCAAACTTGCTACCCTTCATTTAGGATTTATTTTTATGAAAATACCTTATAGACATGATGTTTTTCATGTAAAAGCTCTAAGTTTGTGTGGGAATTAATCTTACAAATTTTCTCTGATTACAAAATTTACAAAGGATTACCACATGTAAACTCTTTACCATAGATGTTAGTATATTGCTTGTGAAACTACATATTGTATTCAAAGTTATAACATCTTTGAGGTATAGTCTCTGAGATAATCTTGGATGGAGAAAATTGCAGAGATGGTCAAGTAAACAATATGTGAAGTTTGTATTCTGTATTTCCAGTCTTTGTGTATATGGTATGTGAAGTTTGTATTCTGTATTTCCAGTGTTTGTGTATATGGGGGAGGAAACAGACGGGAGCAGATTAATGTTGTGACCAAAGGAGTAGAAATCATTGTTGCCACCCCAGGGCGCTTGAATGACCTTGTCATGAACAAGATTGTAGATGTCAAGTCTGTAACTTACTTGGTAAGTAGAGCTGCTCATTGAATGGTATGGGATATGTTCATGTCCAGTACCAAATAAAATTATTCTTTCCTCTATTAGCTTTTGTGTAACATATGCATGTATACTTGGTGGACACAATACAGAGAATACCATTCTTCTTTTTTGTCCCTTACTTGCTACAGTGATGGTCGGTGGCCAGAGTTTAAGCTTCTTAAATCAAAGGTCAAAAGGCAAGGTCAAAGATATATATGAGTGTTCACAATGTTGTGGATACAAAGAGTAATATAAGATCTTTAATCTCTTTGCAGAGATGTTTGATAGCCAGGGGAAGAAGCTTTTTATTTCAGGGTCAAAGTTCAGATCCAAGTCCAAAAAACAAAAAAATTTAAAATCCCTCTGACTTTTCGTTCTCTTTCCCACTACAAAGCTATACCAGACAGCCAGAGGAGGAAGTTTATTGTGTTTAGCCACAGAAGATCAAGATTAGAGACCTGTGTGATAGGTTATAACAATAGTATGGACATCATTTTATAACTGTCTTGTATGCACACAATCTCTACTTGATGCAGTGGGGAAAACAAGATGTCCAGAATGAAATTTTAATGATTACCAAATCAATTCAATATTTGAGAAATCATATTCTTTAAATAAACAAAAACTTTGTTGTGCCCTTATTGGAATCTATTCTTATATATCTATTTCCTGTCCTTGTAAGAATCTATTCTTATACATGTATATCTATTTCCTACTTTGAAGGTTCTGGATGAAGCAGATCGAATGTTAGACATGGGGTTTGAACCAGAAATTAAGAAAATTTTACTGGACATTAGACCAGACCGACAAACGGTCATGACAAGGTTTGTTTTAAATAAATCCAAATAATTTTAAGAACATACAAGATATCTTTGAATGATTCAAAACTTTTCTGAATTACGGACAAAAAAGGGAAATAGTGGTAGGTGTCATCAGAATTTAAAGTTCAGGTTGAAAAAAGATCAAATTTTATCTAATTATTACAATGCATGTTCTATAATGTAAGGTAACCCTAATGAAAAATGAAAATCTTAGTTTTGTAATTTAACAATATCAGATGCTGATAGATCTCACCTTTTATTTCTCCAAACTGAAAAAACCCAGAGATATTTAATCTCTGGAGTTTTTTCAGACCCTCTGAGATACTGAAGTATTTTGGAATACATGTATTATGCATACTTTCTGTTTGTAGTGCTACTTGGCCACCGGGAGTCAGAAGATTAGGAGAGAGCTACCTCAGGGACCCCATACAAGTGTTTGTTGGCTCCCTAGATTTAGCAGTAAGTGACTACTATTCTGATCAAAGGCTTAGTACACTGAACTCGGAAAACTACAGCAACTGAATTTTAAAATTGCCATTTTACTACCCAGTATCTCATGGAGATGCCGCAGATAAATGAGGACAGAGCTAGAAATATGGTACATGTGCATGCACTCTATATGCAGCATATATGGGAGTGTCTTATGCAATGATTAATCATAGATTTTTGGGAAAATGAAGATGACAATTTTGCAGATTCAGTATGAATTTAAGTCTAAAAATTGCTTCCAAATTTGATGCTAAATCAGAATTTTAGAGTCAATTTTATATTTAATTAGAAAATTCATACTTGAGATTTCTTTCATGGTGTATTAGCCAGTATAACATTATGTGTATCATAGGTATTTGTGTGTTTACTTATCTGATGAAAGTTTCATCATATGGGAATTATTTCTTTGCAATTAACACCACTGATGTAGGTGGCTGATTAATTATTACCAGCATTTCTTCTTACCTCACACTTGTCATTCTGTCACGCAGTACATAAAAATTGTTGATTAAAGTGAATTACTAGATACACTTTTCTTTACAGACTTGTCATTCTGTCACACAGTATATAGAAATTGTTGACCAAGAAGAAAAGAAGGAGAGGGTAACTCTTCTGTTTATTTATTTGTATTTATGTAATATTTACAGGAATGTAAAATTTATTTGAGAATGAAATTTTTATCATAAGAATTGATTGATTGATTGTATGTTGTTTTACATCCCATTCGAGAATTTTCCACTAATATAGAGACGTCACCATATACTGGTGAAGGGCTTCAAATTTTGACCTTGGCACTCAGGGTCATTGAGCAGTGAGGGATCTTTATCTTGCCAACGCCTGCTGTGACATGGGGCCTCGGTTTTTAAGGTCTCATCCGAAGGACCCACAACTTTCACTTCAAAGTGCCGAGTGCATGGCGAAGAAACAGTTGCTACCCATTTTTATCAACTTAGGTCTGTTGCGGCTGAGATTCGAAATCACGACCTCCCGATCACAGAGTGAGCTCTAACGACGGAGCTACCGTGAATGGTCCATAAGAATTGAAGAGACAGTTATGTGTGTGCTTTGTTTTGTAGGTTGTTAGATTTATATTGGAGGAAATGGAAGAGGAAGATAAAGTCTTGATTTTTGTGGGTAAAAAACTGACGTAAGTAGAATTGTTTTCCTTTTCATACTTGATTTTTGTGGGTAAAAAACTGACGTAAGTAGAATTGTTTTCCTTTTCATACTTGATTTTTGTGGGTAAAAAACTAACATAAGTAGAATTGTTTTCCTTTTCATTCTTGAACTTTTTTCAGAAAGACATTTTACATAAAGTATGCAAGATAGAATAGGCATTGTTTGAAGATTTGGTTGACATTTCTATAGTCAGAGAATGCATTAGATGTACATGGATATTTTTTTTTCCAAAAGTTACAGTTAAAGACTTTGGGATTGACTGCTTCCTAAGATATAAAATGTTTCCTTTTTCAGAGCTGATGATCTGTCCAGTGATTTATCTCTGAAAATGATCAACTGTCAGTGTATTCATGGAGATAGGTGAGGAAGCCAAGCCCCCTTATAAGGGGAGATAATCAAGAAAAGACAAAAATAGGGTGGGGTCATTAAAAAAATCTTCTTCTCAAGAACCACTGGGCCACAAAAAGCTGAAACTTATGTGTAAGCTTCCTGAGGTATTGTAGATCTTAAATTGTTCAAATCATATCCCCCGGCATAAGAGTGGGGCCACAATAGGGAATCAAAGTTTTACATTGAAATATATAGGAAAAATCTTTAAAAATCTTCTTAAGAACCACTGGGCCTGAAAAGCCGAAACATAAGTGGAAGCTTCCTGGGGGTAGAGTAGATTCTAAGTTGTTCAAATCATGGCCCCCGGGGGTAGGATGAGGCCACAATAGGGAATTTTACATTGCAATATATAGGAAAATCTATGAAAATCTTCTCAAGAACCACTGGGCCAGAAAAGGTGAAACTTATACAGACCCTAAAACGTGCTACTACACCTCAGAAACGTACCGTACCATTCCGTGCAAGAAGCGTACCGTTCCGTGCAAGAAGCGTACCGTAACGTACACAAAACGAACCGTACCGTGCACAAAACGAACCGTACCGTGCAAGAAGCGTACCGTACCGTGCACAAAGCGAACCGTACCGTAAACAAAGCGTACCGTTCCGTGCAGGAAGCTTACCGTACCGTGCACAAAGCGAACCGTACCGTTCATGAATAATTTTTTAAATGATTATGCAAACCACGCCCCGAAAGCATTCCGAATCTTGCAATGACCAATTACAGTAAGTAATTTTCTTTTATTTCTTTCAACACAGCGCCCGTTAAAGAAGGACGGAAAATAACCCTAGAGATTCAAATTATTATTATTAAGTACCATGCATCTGGACTTACATCTGTTAATATATGGAAACTACTCAAAACTAGTTAACGACTTCAAAACAACTCGACAGATAGTCCGAAATATCTGACGTTTTCCAGGCTTTTTCACGATTTTGATATTTTACGTGCCAGGAAAACGTCAGAACCGGCGCCATTACAAAAACTGGAAATTCGCCGCCTCCAACTGGAGGCGGCATTGTCGGGTTGATTTTCGATACTTGTTAACCAAATTAAATGCTGAATTCACAACTTATCAGTAGTACAATGCCTTCAGTACTCACCAACATCGTTTATATGGGTTTGTTTATGAAATATACAATCTGGTGAAAACATTTTATCAGAGGATCGAGTTTTCTTTTCATTTCGTGCATTTTAAATTCTTGCAAGACCAAATCGAAATGTGGAGTGATATTTTCTTTTCATCGATATTGGTGAGTACTAGAAGCATTGTGCTACTGATAAATTGTAAGTTCGGCATTTAATTCAGTTCGCAAGTATCGAAAATCAGCTCCGGTTGGAGACGGTGAAATTTCCAGTTTTCGTAATGGCGCCGGTTCTGACGTTTTCCTGGCATGTAATATATCAAAATCGTGAAAAAAGCCTGGAAAACGTCAGATATTTCGGACTACTCGACAGAGTGTGAGGCGGTTCCTTATTCGCTATGCGTGATCGGGTTGTGCTTGACTAACATTTTTTTTCATATTTAATGCAGCATCGTAATATTTTCGTGTACAATTTATAATAAATAAAAGTGAATTATATACTTTATCGTTTATTTCTATAGCTTTTATCTACCGTATTCTTGTCTCTATTCAAACGTTCTCGGAAACCAAGACACATTGAAAAATGTATTAGGATTCTGTGCTATTTTCTGAAATCAAGCCCTTAAAATCATTTTTTATTAATGTAATAGTTTTTGGGAGAAATGCAACAACAACAACAAAAATCAAAAAAAAAAAAAAAAAAAAAAAAAAAAAAACCGGGCTAAATTGTCAATTTGAAAGCGGACATGTTAAAATGTAAACGCCTCTCAATCACTAGAAAGAAATAAATAAAAGCGATGTATATATAAATAATATGTGTTGGTTTACACTCATCTGACCAACCCAAGATGTTATCGCCAATAAAACATACTGTCAAAAGTTCGATCGCCACATTTTCGCATGGAATTTTCAGTTTAATACACGTAATCAAAAACAATCTGGATATTTTTTTTTTTTATAGAAACACTACAGTTCTTGCCATGGTCTCGTTATCTAGACTGACGTCTTTCTATACTTTCGTTATTTACTCAAAAACATTTGAATATATCGATCAAGTATTGTCATCACACGTGCACAGGTAAAAACTTAAGCTGTGTATATTGAACCGTATCTAACCAAGTTAGTCCAGATAAGCCTACATTTACACGTGTATCTACAGTTCCTGTCTTAAACAGTAAGTCTACAACAATGAACCAGTTTTAATCGGCAGATAAACAGAAATCTATGTGCAGTCAGCTTTTCTTCTAGACCTTATAAAAAAAGTTGAGTTTGACAGGGAAACAAAGGGGGGGGGGGGGTTAGCGCCCGGCATGGGCAAATTATTCATTTTCAAAGTTTTTGAGGACATGCATGGCTGCATATTATTTATTTTTTACATAATTGAAACCGGACTATTTATTTCTATCATTTTGACATATTATTAATTTAGGAAATCTGTCTTGAAGTCAATATAAATTATATACATTTATACATTGTAGATGGAATTGTAGCTGTCTTAACCGTTTTCGTGATTGTAACCCTTTCGAAATGCGATTTAACACATTGATGGAAAATTTATGCAAAAAGGAAAACAATTACGCGCACAAAAAATGAAGTAATATTTTGCACTAATTGTGTGCACTTCTACCGATTACTTTTCAATGTATTTTTCCTAGTGAGCCATACACCAAAGAAATCTATGTAAAAAGAAAATTATAATTCCTCGCAAATAAAAAAATGAAAAAAATAACTTACCTTTTTTATTATTTGTCTGATCATTCGGTCAAGAGAAAAAATGTTTTTGTTTGTTTGTTTTTTGTTTTTGTTTTGTTTTGTTTTGTTTTGTTTTTGTTTTTTTTTTTAATGTTTTTTTTAATGAAGCAGCAGTAACAAGAACGTAAAAAGAATGGTAAACGAAATGAAAGGATGAAGGATTTATAAAATCAAACTCTTTTGTTTGAAAGTGTGATAAGTGAATATTTAAAATAATAATTGTATTCAAATAGGAAATTAAAAAAAAAACAGATGCACGTTTATTCTTTTAAAAAAATACAGAAAGGCCTATATGGCGACGCAACCAAAATATTTTTTTCATCCTTGTTATCCTTGTCATCCAGTGTTTGTTGATATGTTCGATTTATTTCCAAGTTATTGAACCATAAGGCGATAGTGTACAAAATAAGATAATAAATTGACAACTAAAATTATTTTATTTTAAAAATTGAAAGTAGTTCAAAGAGAAAGTAAATTAAAAAAAAAGATACAGTTAATAAGACGACTAGTTACACGTAATAACGAAAATATAGCTGTAAAAAGGAAATATTTATAACAGCTTTAACTTAAAAAAAAACTTATTAATAAATGCTTGCAACACCGTCCTTCCATTTACATATATAAAATAAAGATATTTTATCTTTATAAAGAAATAAACGACTTAATGAAATAGCCAATCATAAACTAAAGCGTACAGGCTCCGCCCACTTAATTTACATACCGTTCACCAAAGCGTATCGTTCACAAAACGAACCGTTCCGTGCAAGAAGCGTACCGTACCGTGCACAAAACGAACCGTACCGTATACAAAGCGTACCGTTCCGTGCAAGAAGCGTACCGTACCGTGCACAAAGCGAACCGTACCGTACACAAAGCGTACCGTTCCGTGCAAGAAGCGAACCGTACCGTACACGAAACGAACCGTACCGTGCAAGTGGTGTATTAGCACATTTTAGGGTCTGTATGGAAGCTTCCTGAGGTAGTGTAGATCTAAATTATTCAAATCATGACCCCCGGGGTAGGGTGGGGCCACAGGTATTACAAGGGAGGAATTCTGGTAAACAACAGGGCCAAAGTTACTCAAGTGAGCTCTGTGGCCCATGGGCCTCTTGTCCAAATGATTGAACAGGTTAAAGTTTTAGGAGTAAGTGCATTGCCAAGTTACTCTAAACCATGACCAAACTTGCATGGATGATATGTAAGTCCTACATGGACCAAACTTGCAAGGAAGATGCATCTATGGATGGAAACAATCACACTACCAGACTGGCTTTTGATACTTGGTCTGACCTTCATTTTCCAAATGATTGAACAGTAAAATTTTAGGAGTAAGTCAATTCTCAAGTAACTAAAAGCCCTATCATGATAAACTTGCATGGATGATGCGTCTAGGGATGATTATACCAGACATGCTTGAGATGTTGGATCTGATCTACATTATGTTGATGACTAAATAGTTAAAGGTTTTTTAGCAGGTCCATTCCCAAGTAACTTAAAGTCCAATTCAGACCAAACTTGCATGGATGATTTATCTTTTGATGCAATTACCAGAACATTCATTTGGTCTAAGATTTTGCCTTATTAAAGATAACTTGTGGAGGTGAGCTTTGTTATCTTTGATAACCTATGTTTTGTCAATAAAGTCAAAAATGTCATGAATCCTGAAAAACTCAAGTTACTCAGGCGAGCTATGTGGCCCATTGGCCTCTGGATGATTGGTGCTAGGCTAGGGCCTTCATATTTCACATGTGTATTCTTTGTGAGGAGACCTTATTTAGGTACCAACATTTTTGACATCATGTCCTTGATCTTGGAGTTTGACATACTCTTTAAAGAAACTTTAACTTTGGCCATAACTTTTAAATGGTTGGTGCTAGGACTTGCAAATTTCACAAGTACATTCCTTGTGACAAGATGTTTGGGTGCCAATAGTTTGACCTCATAACCTTTGACCAGCAAGTACATTGTTTATATTGTTTATCTATTGAATTAATTTAACAGAAATAATTTTAATTGTGGTTTACTTGATGTATAGAGAACAGTGTGATAGGGAGCAAGCTTTAGAAGATTTTAAGCAGGGACACACAAGGATCCTTGTGGCCACGGATGTTGCTTCCAGAGGTCTTGATGTAAAAGACATTACGTAAGTGAAAAGGTGTAAAAGACATTACGTAAGTGAAAAGGTGTAAAAGACATTACGTAAGTGAAAAGTAAAAACATTCTCTTTGTCATGTTTACAGTGTTTGAAGAAAAAAAAATGAATATCATGGTCTCCATTTTATACAATTTTCAAACATATCTTCTTCCTCCTGGCCTTAATAACACAGTATATGAGGGTCATTAAAAAAATATGTAGAAATGTCACTCTTCGTAATTCATTTTGTTGATGTATGCAGTTTCATTTTATTTTATTTTATCAAATGGAAGTCTTGTTACATTATTTGAGCATCAGCTTGTTTTGTCACCACTCTTATCAAAAGTGTTTTGATTAGTTTCTCAAAAATACATGTACACTACCTCTTCTTTTCACACACAGTCTGTGGCACCTTACCCTTTTATTAAAATTTTTTTTATACCACTTAATTCTTTTTTTTGCTAACAGTTATTTAAATATATGATAATTTATCCATGTCTTCAATTTTGTTAACTCATAACTCTGCTTCCATTCCTTTCCATGATTGAGAAAAAAGGAATTCCTTCCCTCTCCATCATGGAGAGGAATATGCTAACAGTTATTTAAATATATGATAATTCATCCATGTCTTCAATTTTGTTAACTCATAACTCTGCTTCCATTCCTTTCCATGATTGAGAAAAAAGGAATTCCTTCCCTCTCCATCATGGAGAGGAATATGCCATGGAAATGGGATATTCCTTTCCATGTTGTTGCTATAGGGTTTGACTCTGGATTTTTACTGTTAATTAATATTTGGAAGCCATTCATCGTCCAATATAGAGTAACTAAAACTCAATAAAATTTTTTTAAATGTGTCATTGAAACAGATGCACAGCTAATTTTTAGCTCACCTGAATGAAGTTGGGGGAGCTTATGTAATATTGTGAGCGTTGGCGTCCCAGGTTAAAGTTTTTGGTGCAGTTTTCTTTTCAAGTACATATGTGCCTATTTTAATCAGAGATGCATGGAGGATGCTTCTAGTATGTTTCATTGAACCAGTCAAGGTTTCAGATGCTGCAATTTCAGCTGAAGAATGACCAGATTCTTTTCTTTGAGCAGATTAAAGTTCTTAGAGCAGGTTAAAGTTTTTGGAGCAGGTCTCATTTCCAAGTAACAATAAGCCCTATATTGACCAAACTTGCATGGATGATACATCTAAGGATGCACACTACTGGACTTGCTTCGGATGCTGGATCTGACCTACATTTTGCAGATGAGTGACCAGGTTAAAGTTTTTGGAGCAGGTCTCATTTCCAAGTAACAATAAGTCCTATGTTGACCAAACTTGCATGGATGATACAACTAAGGATGCACACTACTGGACTTGCTTCGGATACTTGATCTGACCTACATTTTCTGGATGAGTGATCAGGTTAAAGTTTTTAGGGCAGGTGTCATTTCTAAGTAACTTTAAGGCCTCTGTTGACCAAACTTGCATGGATGATACATCTGAAGATGCACACTACTGGACTTGCTTCGGATGCTGTATCTAATGGACATTTTCCAGATGAATGACCAGGTTAAAGTAAACTATATTAGCTATCTGAACCAAACTTGCATGGATGATGCATCACAGGATGAACACTCTCAAACTTGCTTCAGATGCTGGATGTGACTTACATTTTCTGGATGAGTGACTAGTTTAAAGTTTTTATGTAAGTCTATTCCCAAGTAACTGCAAGCCCTATTGGACCAAAATTGCATAAATGTTACATCTGGGGAGGCACACTACTAGATTATTAGTTTGGGACTTTGCCTTACTTAAAGACAGCAGTCTTTGAGATGAGCTCTGTAATCTCTGATTACCTATGTATGATACATTTTCTGCTTCCCTCAGCCTTTTCTGAGTTTGTTCTGGAAATTTCCGGAGTGCAACTCATAATTGTATCTACTCACTTCTCCTTGAAGTTGTCCAACATCATTTTTTTTTTGTCCTTTTCAAATCTGTATTTTTTGAATGACCCTTGTATGCATGGTGGTAAAATTAAAGCCATGTCCTTTAGGAAGTTTGTGAAAACTTATTTCCTGTGGGTTCAGGGTGAGGCTAAGATGATAATGTGGAAAAAATACAACATACATATATCTGTAAAATATTCTTCCTCATTTATACCTTGATTTTGATTACAATCAAAAAAATATGTTTAATGATAATGGGGTATCAGCTCTCTTCATGTATCCTGACTCCATGGTTGACTCCATGCAGGACCAGTCTAAGTAAATAAATAGATTTTTGAAACAGCAAGTCTGTAATTGTAAATCTTGCTTCAAACCTCAATATAACCTGATTTTAAATTGATGAAATCATGGCCTTTGATTTTACAGCCACAATAAGGGATTTCATGTATCTATGTATTCATTTGTCATGAATGGAAATGTGACTAGGGTGAGCATTGTGGCCCACAGGCCTCTTATTTTACAGTTCACTGTATTAATTTAAATAATAGTAATCAAATGTTACAGAGAGATATCAATCAACCTAAATAAGTAATTTTTTGTGTTTTTCTTTTTTGACAGACATGTTTTTAATTATGATTTCCCTCGGAACATGGAGGAATATGTTCACAGAGTTGGTAGAACCGGTAGAGCAGGGTAAGTGTTGTCACTGAAGGTTCAGTCAAAATTGATCTCTGAAAAATCAGTATAAATAAAAAGACGATTTGTTCCAAAAAAGTTTTATTGCTATTTATATAAATATGCAAAAAAACCCAAAAAACCCTAGAAGATATAAAAGGGATGTAATGTGAAAGTAAAAGTTGTAAATAAATGATTTAATGAAGAGTAAAAGGGATGTATACATGTATATAAAGTATTTTCTGACGATGTCACTTTTACATATATTTAATATGTAGCTGGTTGAAGATTGAGTGGGGGTACTTTTAGTGTCGATTGTTCTTAAAAAACACATAGCTTTTCCTCATGTTCATATGTTAGTTTGGATTCTGAGAAATACAGAACATGATAAGTTGTTTTTATTTATATGCAGTGTATAGACCATCATTGTAATTTTTGATTTAATTATCATTCACCAGTTTTCAGCATCTCTTTCCAAGAATTACATCCTACCTACATGTATACTATATTTTAGCATAAATTTCCTCAGCTTATGTTTATATATATTAAGTAATTAAAGTATCAAGAAAGAGGACCTTCTTTAATAAAACAAATTCTGTACTAACGTCATCTTCAGAAAGGGTTCATGTTTAAAGTTTTGTTCTTTATCCAAAATTACTTTTTTTACTTTTACATCTGACAATATTTTTTTACAAGCCCTCATCTGCAAATGACAAAAGTTTCAAATGCTCTTTAGGATGAAGGACTTCTCTTCTCATTACTATGTCTTACTGACGGGATAAAATCTATTTTCAGTAAAACGGGTAAATCCATTTCTCTGTTAACGCGTTCTGACTGGAGGTCTGCGACTCACCTGATCGAGATTCTGGAGGAGGCTAATCAGGTAAACAAACCCTGGACGGTGTTCTAACTAGTTATCTTAAAGATGACGTAATATTAATCAGTTGATATACCGGTACATGCAAGAGTAGCTGTAACTTTATGATGCTCACGTTTTGTTTAAATCAGAGAGATTGTGTTTAAACTTTGACAGATCGTGCCAGATGAGCTGGCAAGTATGGCAGAGAGATATGAAGCTCACAAACAGAAACTCAACGAGGAGCGTGCCAATGGTATATTTCGTCCTCGGGGTGGGGGAAGAGGTCGACGGAGAGAGGAAGGGGTATACCTATGTATGGACGGCGTACCGTGAAGTCCCCAATGTTTAGTCGTAGGAACCTTGCAGAAGTAAAAAGTCCATTGTGCCAAAATGATGACAGTAAATGCCTAAATCCAGTAATTACACACTTGTAAATCTTAAAGTGTGCGATACTTTGTACTAACCTGAAATTTAAGTCGTCGCAAATGGACCATATATTGTTATTTTTTTGTTTGAGAAAATTGAGTACATGTATCTCATTCTTTTTTATTTTTGATGAAACATTCAGATAAATGTATTTTACCAATGATTAATCAAAAGCATGTAGTTTGTTCTCAGTGTACCTAGGCTTTAAACATCAGATGAACATTGGTGATTATTAATATTTAACGGATAGCTTTTGTTTTATATTCTGTTCCAATACAAATGCATTACTACGACATGTATGTACAAGTAATAATCTTTAAACTGCTTTAGTTTCTCCATCATTATTGCCACAAAAAGGATTAAATGACATTAAGGCAGTAGTTTTATAATGAATTATAAAAGTTAATGGTTGTGAATTGATAAGATCGTACAAAGTTTGTATTCTGTTTCTATGTTTATAAACACTCTCCTACAAAGAAAGGCATAGTTTAGTCCTGTCTTTATCTAGTCTTGGTTCTAAATCTGCATTGAATCTAAAAATTGCAGTTTAACCTGTTTTTTGAATATTATTTAAAATTTTTCTAATGGGACAATATGTCCTCCTTTGTATATACGTATAAAAGATTTATTGTAGCAAAATATTTGTCTCCGGCGGAGTTGATATCAAGTAGAACTGACTTAACCACACAATAATAAGACAGCATGGTCATCTTTGTCATATGTATTTTGATCCTGTTGTGTACTTTGACTTTATTATTGAATAAAGTTATAATTTAAAAATGCACTTGTAACTTTTCTTTTTATATCTGTTTATCAGAATTTCAGTTCTTAAAGTGTAGTTTTGATAGGGATAGCAAACAAAGAGAAAAGGGGGAGGGGTTAGCTTAAAATTGTTCCAGTGAGCTGTCCAGGTTAAACAGATTGTATCAGAAGTTTTCTCCTGTTTTTTTAAGTATGATTCAGTGTATATATATGCTAGGTGCTTTTTATGTGTATGTGTGTGTCCCTGGATAATGTCTCTATTTATCTACTATTTTGAATATCCATTGTTTATAAATTTCGGTACTCTCAAATATCAATGCAGTATTTAACTCGGTTTAAAACCAAAGGCCACATACTTCAAGCATCATAACCAATGTAATTCTGTTCCACAGTGTCAAAGCCTTTACAACACCAGTTAAGACGGATGAGCCACATTTATTTCCTGAACTGGTGACACGAAACATCGACAACATATTTTAATGTGAATTTTTATACACTTGATTGTATTCTAATTGTTAAGCATTGACAGTTTAGTACAATTCATTCTTCAGCTATCTTGTCAAATTTTGGCTAAAAAATTTATCTACAGCTTTTCAGAAATTTAAAGCAATATCCATTTTTCCACACAAATGTGATGACTACTTGACATGGATCATATGAAAAGTTTGGTCCATTTCTGCCTTTCTCCCTGACAACACTACTATATCCTTGACAACACTACTGTGGAGACACTATAGTATCCCTGACAATTTTACTGTATCACTGACAACACTACTGTGTCACTGACAACACTAATATTACTGAAAACACTATCCCTTACAACACTATTGTATCCCTAACAACACTATTATATTACTGACAACACATATCCTGTAAAACACTAGTGTATCTCTGACATCATTGTATCCTTGACAACACTATACTGTATTCCTGATAATATTACTGTATCCTTGACAACACTACTGTATCCCTGACAACATTATACTGTATTCCTGATAATATTACTATATCATTGACAACACTATTGCATCCATGACAACACTATTGTATCACTGACAACACTTGTATCACTGACAACACTACTGTATCCCCCCAAAAGCTGTTAAATCCCTGTTTACACCATTGTATGCCTGTCAAAATTGCTGTATACCTTAAAACACTACTATATTGGGGTGAATTCACCATTGATTCGACACCTTCTTTAGAAATACATGTAATTAGAAGTTTATAACTTATACAGTGGTATTTCTTTTGAAGATGAGTTAAAATAGAGTAATTCAAGGGTACTTCTACATTTTGGAATGGATAACTGGATATTCTTGAATAATGCAGAAAAAAGGACTTCACCATGGACTGGACATTATTGACATGTTTAAGTATATTATTACAAACTTCACGAACAATACATCGAGAAATAAAATCTAATATGTTCTACATAAACCAACATTGCAGTTTTCGAAATCAGTGTAAAAAAAAACAATAATCTGAGGTGTGAAGCTTCATTTTTGTCTGCAAATGTACATTAAATAATTAACAAAAGGTCCAATTTGAATTTTGAATATATACTCCAAATTAAGCTTTTTTATGACAACTAAAATCTTAGACACTACTATGTCCTTGACAACTCTACTGTGTCCCACTGCCAGACAACAATACCGTATCCTTGACAACACTACTGTGTTATAGACAACAATACTGTATCTTACACAACACTGCTGTATCCTTGACAACACTAGTGTTACAGACAACAAAACTATCTTACACAACACTACTGTAAACTGTATCCTAGACAACACTACTGTATCCTTGACAACTCTTCTGTGTCTCAGACAACACTACTGTATCCTAGACAATACTGTGTATCCTTGACAGCTCTTCTGTGTCTCAGACAACACTACTGTATCCTAGACAACACTGTGTATCCTTGACAACACTACTGTATCCTTGACAACACTACTGTATCCTAGATAACACTGTGTATCCTTGACAACTCTTGTGTCTCAGACAACACTACTGTATCCTAGACAACACTGTATATCCTTGACAACACTGTATATCCTTGACAACACTACTGTATCCTTGACAATCTACTGTATCCTAGACAACACTACTGTATCCTTGACAACACTACTGTATCCTTGACAATCTACCGTATCCTAGACAACACTACTGTGTCCTTGACAACTCTACTGTATCACAACACTACTGTATCCTTGACAACTCTACTGTATCCTTGACTACTGTGTCCTTGACAACTCTACTGTATTCCTGACAACTCTACTGTATCCTTGACAACTCTACTGTATTCCTGACAACTCTACTGTATCCTTGACAACACTATTGTATCCCTGAGAGTTGTACTGAATTCATACCAAATAATGATAACACACAAAAAGTACGCAAGATTTATTATAGAAAAGTATAATTAACATAAACAATGGATTTATTATAGAAAAGTAGAATTAACATAAACAATTTGGAATTGGCACAATGAACAAGCATCTAGTTACATAAAACATAAACAGATTCAATAACATAAAATAATCTGCAAAATGCCAGTATATATTTGTGGAAGAGGATTTCTTATCATTTCTTATCAAACCAAATTTTAACTAACATGTTAATTATGATCTACAGGTATGAATGAACTGTACATGTTATCAAATATTGCACTCAAAAAAATATTGCAGTTTTAAAATGTACATATATGTACCAACATTTGAGACAGGTATTGAAAAGTTAATCATCTTAAAGCCATCCATTTAAAAAAAGTAATAAATTTATTGCACATATTCATGGCAAAACCTTTGGCCTGTTGCTTTGGAGTTTTGCCGCAGTTATTAATATATTAACAAATGTTTATAGACATCAAATCTAAAAACAAATAAAAGGAGGGTTCTGCACTCTGTTCCTAAATATTCCTTTGTCATTAATTCTTCATGATAGTATCGTCTTTTAAATAAAAAGGTATTAAAAAGGCTACATCATAGCTAGTTGTAAAAATGATCAGATTAAATAATAAAATAAGTAAATCTGGTGGGAATGTCATAAATAGTTACTCAAATATAAATGAATTCTGAAATTTTAATTCAAATGGGGAATGATCATACCCATTTTTTAAAGTATCTTTTTGGCATGTACATATAGATAACTAGTCTGATATTGAATATCAACACCTGTTTCTGCCAAACCTATTATTATTATCTATGCAGAGGTAAAGAGCAGACATTTCTATGTGCAGATGCTCTTCTATCCTGCAGGAGTGGTGTGTAGCTCTTCACAAGAGTGAGGTTTAAATGGTGGTCTGTGGCTCTCTATTGCTGGGTGGATCAAAAGGATCATCTGATGATTTACTCACAGCTCCAACATTTGAATATATTTCACCAGGCCCCTGCTTACCACCTTGACCTGATTAAAATTAAAATATCATTAACACAATTACATATTAATTCATGATTGCAAATCAAATCACTAATCATAGCCTTACTGTTCTTAAGAAGATTTCTAGATATTTTCCTATATATTCCCATATAAAACTTTACAATGTGTATTTTTGCCCAACGCTACTCTTAGGGGACCATATTTTAAACAAACTCAAATCTGCACTACCTGAGGATGCTTTCAATTAAAAAATCACTGATCTTGGCCCTGCTGTGCTTGAGCAAAAGATTTGTTAAGATTTTTCCCAATATATTCCATAAAATTTGATAACCGCTCTGCCCCTGGGGAGCCCTGATTTGAACAAACTACTGTACGTGTACAATAATTGGTGTATTCAAAATTTAGCGCAGTCACTGGGTTTTGAGGAGTTGGCATAATCATGAATTAGTGCTACACATGTACGTGCCATGTATTGTATATATAAATGATTTCTTAGCGGTATTCATAAATTAGCCCATCATTGACTACGCCAAAGCTTAACTAAATACTGATGCAGACATACTTCTTTTTGTGTGGGATTAATTTATGCTATGTACTCAATTAATTTCATGCAGAAATTTGCTACAGCATACTTTAGTGCATTTAATTCATACAAAAGAAATTTAAGACACGTAATTTTCTACCCGCACATTGAACAGAAATTGTGATTCCTCAGAGTAATGACCCTGTGGAGTACATTTACAGTATATTGGTTTCAATGTACTGTATGTGTACTTAAAAAAGCAGGCTTCAAATTTTAGCACCTTTGGCACAGAAATTAATGCACTATTTACTGAATACCGCTAAAAAATCATATATTAATACAATATAGGGCACGGAAGTGTGTAAGCACTAATTCATGAATACGCCTACAACTCAATACCCAGTGATTGCGCTAAATTTTGAATACACCAATTTATGTACACGAACAGTATTCAGATTATGGTTGAATTAAGTTGATAGATGGGCGCATTCTTTAACATCCATTAAATTTAATGCAGACTGTATTCATAGTACAATTACAGTGAATTCTTATGAAATCTGACAAACCTTTCAGCTTTATTAATGGATCTTTTTCTAGGGAGAGTCGGACATCCCCCACATTGGCATACTCTGTTTCCCTCTCCTCCTCTGTCGTGTTCTCGTACACGTCACCGGGATTCAGGTAGTTAAGAGCTACCTGGTAACAATACTGGTACTGAGTCTGTAGTGAGAAAACAAGGCTAGTCTCACTTTTAGAGAAAACAAGGCTTATCTACTGATACTTGTCTCACTTGTAGAGAAAGAAAACAAGGCTTATCTACTGATACTAGTTTCACTTATAAAGAGAGAAAACAAGGCTTATCTACTGATATGAGTCTCACTTATAAAGAGAGAAAACAAGGCTTATCTACTGATACTAGTCTCACTTATAGAGAAAACAAGGCTTATCTACTGATACTAGTCTCACTTATAGAGAAAACAAGGCTTATCTACTGATACTAGTCTCACTTATAAAAAGAAATTTACCCAACATTTCTGTGAAATTGTGGATAGACAGTCATTCTAAACCATAACGAGAGGCCCTTGGGCCACAGTGCTCACCTGAGCAATTTTAAGCCCTGCTGGTGGTTCTTAAGATTTTTAAAATATTTTTCTCCTTTATATTCCCATGAAAATTTGTGACCCCATATTAAAGCCAGACACTGACTTTTAGGGGTCTTTGAATGGACTCAACATGAATATGCTTCAGTGTCGATATGACTAACATGGCCTTGCATTACAGAGAAGAACAAGCTTTTCCTGTATATATGCAAATTGTAAAATTTGATCCCAATTTAAGCCATAACCTATGGTCCTCAATTTGAAAAAAAATTGAATCCAATGACATACAACTTGGAAATGTTTGCAAATCAATGCTTCTATTGTGGTTTTGAGAGGATTTTTGAAATTTTTCTTATATAATCCAATGTAAGTTTTGATCTCCTATTGTGGCCCCATCCAATCCCTGGGGGCCATGATTTGAACACTTTGGAATCTGCATTACCTCAGAAAGTTTTCACACAAGTTCTATCCTTTCTGCCCAGTGGTTATTGAGAATTTTTTTAATGATCCCATCCTATTTTTGTCTTTTCTTGATTATCTCCCTTTAAAAGGAGGCTTGGTCCTTCTTTTGAACAATTTAGAATCCCTTAAACCAAGAATGATTTGACCCAACTTTGGTTAAAATTGGACCTGTGGTTTCTCAAGAAGTCAAAAATGTGAAAAGTTTACAGACAAACAGATGCCAGACAATGGCTTATCAGAAGGGAAAATCCCCAATTTACTGGATTTGTCCTTGAAATGTAGATCCTCATTTTATACAAGTACTTAATAATGTGAAATGACTCCTCGATGTTGGTACATGCATTTACATATGACTGTTGATCTACAGCTTTAACATTTACAGCATTATAAACATAGGTAATCAAAGATTGTAAAGCTCACCTTGATGAATAATATATCTAAGACTGATTCTTACACCAAATAAATGTTATGGTAACGTGCATCCCTAGATGCAATATCTACAATATCTACATAAATTTGGTCCAAGTAGGACCTATATATATATATATATATATATATATATATATATATATATATATATATATATATATATATATATATATATATATATATATATATAGTCCCTGAAACGTTCTACTTTCCCACTTGAAAGGTGAGCGAACGCTGAACGAACGCTGAACGAACTGTGAGTGAACGATGTGTGAATGCTGAATGCAACTTGGTGAACGATGTGTGAACGGTGAACGAACGCAGAACGCGAACGGAGCGCAAACGCGAATGCAAAGTGAACGGTGAACGCAAGATGAAAGATATATTCGGAATGCCTCTGATCTTTTCCTTGCATTGAAACTAATTTATTGTATTATAATGTCAGGTGCCAAAAAAAAAAAATAATAATAAATAAGTAAACAAATAAATGAATGAATAATTAAGTCAGTAAAATAAATTCTCCAAAATTGTCCTCAGAAAGACGATGCATGCACATTAAGTTTTTAATCACACGATTTTTATCGCATTAAAACATTGCAATTGTTGCCGAACGCTGAAGTATAAAAGATATTGTTTTTAGTTGGAAAATAAAAATGTTTATTCTTAGTTGATAACAAATCAGAGAAATCTTATGATTTATAGAATGAATTAAAGCGGTTGTAACTTATATTCATATATATATATATCTCCGTGTCAAGGCGATTTCGTGTAAAGTAATGAAAAAATAAATTAATTACATTTATACGCTTGTATTTTAAATATTTAAAACAATAATATATTATGTGTCATTTCTATTTTTCATTATGATTTATTGAGCAGACGTCTACATGCATCTCTAGATGGCCGTGATTATACTCGGACAAGATCATGATGATACAAAGATACATATTCATATTATTTGTTATAAATTCAATTTTCAGAACTTGATATTGAAGTAATATGGTGTTATAGTTTTTATTAAACAGACAAATGAGAGAGAGAGAGAGAGAGAGAGAGAGAGAATAATATTCAGTTTTAGCCCCCCCCCTCCTTTCAGGCTTCACCAAATGTTTGTACCTATATCAAACAAAAACTCAGAAATTTTTTTTCTAAATATATCAGACAGTGAAAGTAATTTTTTTTTTTTATCAACAAATCATATCCATTTGTTTGACAGTCATACTCGTTTTTTATTTTCCTGCTTCAAGTTCACACGAAGTCCACGTGCTTGTCCTGTCAATCAAAATCATTCGACACTGTGCAGTTGTGAAAGTTTCGTCACATCGAAGATGAAGTGTGAGTATTTCCAACAAGTTATAACATTTATTTTTATCATTTCTAGATTTGATTCTAACATTTGAATAATAAATTAGTAAAATACATTAGGCATTAACACTTGAATGTGAAACATACTCTCTGCCAATTTCAAATACCACCGCTGACACGTGTACATTTTGATCTACTATTGTTTTGTGACTTTTTTAGATGCATGTTTGTTTTGAGACTGAAATTTTTGTTCTAAAAAAGACCATAGCTTTTTTTAAAATGTTAATTAAAACATTCTGGAAATACGGTACTGACTAAGTCACCGATTTCGGGGTGGGTGGTGGGGGGGGTGGGGGGGGGGGTATTAATCATATCGATTAGCAAACATATAAAGTTACGGTGAAGAAAGTTTTTTTTCTCTATAACTATAGACTTTACATATTACAGTAGAGAAATTCTGTAGTGCATTACATTTTAAATAAATATTTTCTTTAACCACACTATCAATTTAATTCGTTCTAAAGATAATAAATTAACAGGATATCCGCAGTACTATGTATAACTCTCAGAACTAGTACTAGTTCTATTATATTTTCTGTAGTAATTGAAAAAAAAAAACTTATTAGAAATAAATATTTTCATAATTTTGCTGCGTAATTATTTGACTTGAATAATTATATCTCCATTAATGATTTGTCGTCTTTAACAAAACAACAAAATGTTGCAGTGCTTGAAGTATTTGCACATTGCCCTTAGTTAAATTTAATATTTCAGCATCGTTCTACATAGGTACAGAATGTGCTTGTAACAACATTTATTTTCCAGAGTAATTTAATAAATAACCTGACAGCTAAATTAAAATAATAAAAATATATATCGTAGATATTTTTCCTCATGAAATAATGATTCTTCAAACACGATATGTTGTTAATAAATTAAAAAAAAAAACCTGTAACTCCTTAACTACAAAAAAATAAGTCCTTCGGAGTTCCAAATGGCAATGAAAACTGAACGATAGGTGAACGCTGAACGCAAGGTGAACGCAAAGTGAACAGAACGAAGAGCGAACGCTGAACGCTTTGTGAACGGTGAACGCGAGCGCACGGTGAACGCAAAACTGTGAACGGAGAGCGAACGATGAACGTACGGTGAATGAACGGTGAATGCACGCTGAACGAACGGTGAGCGAACGGAAAAATGGGAAAGTAGAACGTTTCAGGGACTGTATATATATATATATATATATATATATATATATATATATATATATATATATATATATCTTGAAAATGAACCTGCTCCAAATATATCCAGCTTCCAAAGCATACCTGGTAGTTGTTCATCCCTAGTAACATGCATAATCAATGCAAGTTGGCTTATAGTTTCTAGGGCTCTAAAACTTTAACCTGTTCATTCACCTGGAAAATTTTGGTCAGATCCAGCATCTGAAGCAAATCTGTAGTGTGCAAACCTAGATACATCATGCAAACAAGTTTGGTAACCAAAGAACTTATACTTATTTTGGAATTCACCTGCTTCAAAAATTTAACCTGATCACTGATCCAGAAAAAGTAGGTCAGATCCAGCATTAGCTGCAGAACTGTAGTTCCAAACAGCCCTAAATGACCTTGGAATGTCAGTTTTAAAAATTCACATTCCAACATCCATGTTGGGGTCATGGTAAAATTATTTATCTATCAAAGAATATACACATGCCAAAAAAATTAAATATTGTCAATCAAGTCATCTATATCTTCTATAAAAGAGGACAATATGTATATAAAAAAGAAATTAGATATAAACTTAGGTATGTTATTGCTACCTGACATGGACGTCAGAATGCCAATAGGACTGTTTGGAACTGTTGAAAGATAAAGTAACAAGATTATGAGTAACATGTATGCTTAATTAACACATACTATGCTTTCCTTTTTCTTAAGGGGGTGGGAGGGGGGCAAATGCATATGATATAAGAAATACATGTAACACCTGAACTGAGCGACAAAAAAGTGTCGACGTAAAATCAAAGGCTTTATCGATGCTTAGATCTGTAGCTCTCTGGTTTGTCTATTCGAATTTCCTCAACCAGAAAGCTACAGTTCTTCAGCTCATCCAGCATCTGAAGCAAGTCTAGTAGTATGCAAGTTTGGTTCAGATAGGGCTTTTAGTTTCTTGGGCATGGACCTGCTCCAAAAACTTAAACCTGGTCACAGATCCAGATATGTAGGTCAGATCCAGCATCCGAAGCAGGTCTGATAGTGTCCATCTCAAGATGCATCATCCCTCCAAGTTTGGTCAAGGTAGGTCATATAGTGACTGGGGATTGGACTTGCTCCTAAAACTTTAACCATGACACTCAGGCTAATGCCTAAACTGGGGATATGGCATAAGCTCATCTTGACTTTGTTTTTTTATTTTGCAAGTGGTGCTTCTTGTAAAATTGCATGATATAAATTTCTCACATATATTTCAAAATCTACAGTATATAGGTTTTTATTCCTGACCTTTGACCTTATGACCTCTGGCTTCCTGATCTGAAGCTGTCGTACACAGTGATAGATGTTTACTTCATTGTACCAGTCTATCCCATCCAGAATATTACACACAGCACAGTAAAGACCACTCTGTGTAGCTCCATTCCTAAAATCAAAGTTTATTAAGATAATTAAGTTTTCCACAAGGGATAAACATTAAAAACATTTCACAAAGTTAAAGGTTTCTTTATTTCCAAAAGCCCAGTACAACGATTTTTCCTTTTCCCTGAGGTTTACAGAATTTCAATAATAATACATGGATTTTTTTAAATTTTCCAGAGGTTTACAGAATTTTGATAACTGGTTTTTGTTTCAAAATATTATGTGCCTAATTAAGCAATACTCATATTTGGTAAAATCATTATTGCACTAATTCATTTAAATTCCATGATAATGTAATTAATATATCAAATACTGATGGTTCTAATATTCCTATATCATGTACTTGTTCCAAATAATTCATGATCTGCATATATGCTGACACTTGAGCAAAGATAAAATAAAATTTGAGCAGTACTAAAATAAGAACATTATGACTAATTCAATCAGAGACCTGCATATGACGACCACCGGTTTCTGTTCTCCTAGCTGGGTTTGACGTTTCTGAACTTCGTAATGCAAGCAGTGCAGCAGCTTCTGAGCTTCAGGTAGTTCATTGGTTGACCTCCAACCGCTGCCCACGAATATCTTAACCTCCATCTCCAACTCATTCTCTATATCCTATGTAAAGTAGGACTCTAGACAAACTCTTGTATAAACATTTACAAGCAACCGAAATCTATATAAATGCTTACCTATTAAGAATGCAAATTTATTGATAGAGTTTAAATTTTGGATTTCATAACTTGAGAAGCAAAGTCAATGAATTTCACAGAGGGACATTCAGGACACATTTTCTTTAAAGTCTTGATCAGCTATGCTTGATGAACATTGAGCAAGGGAAATTCAAATAAAATAATTTATTTACCACCAAACCACTTTATATTTGAACTGTATGCTAAAGATTTGGAATTTTATTATGGGTCCTTTAAACAATATATATAGTATTTAATACATATAGATCAAATAGCTTTGCCCTCTGAGTGCAGATAAAACTGGTAAAACATTAATATACCACAACATTTTTTTCTTTCCCTGCTCAACTTTAGTTTACTAAAAATGAGTGGGAGTGGGGGGGGGGGGGGGAGGGGTATTTTGATTTGATAGGTAACATTTCTACTGCCAGCAGTGATATCTATATAAATATCATTACACTGTTAGAATCCAATGACAAATGAGGAAGCCATTCAGTATACTGTATACATTTGTATTTTAACTTGACTCACATTCGGCAATTAATATGCTTTATCACGAGTGTGCTTTTTCATGATTGCCATAAGCGTAAAAATCTATGTAGAATCTCTTGATTTCTATAAACTTGAATATGAATAGCACAATATCATGATAATACTCAGAAGTCTACTTGATACACACTATACTTTGACTATGCTATAAGTTCATATACAGGAATTATGTAGCAGGTTATTGGAAAGCTATGCTGAACTACAACGTTAACAGAATACAAAATACAGTAAAACTCATCTCGTACAAACACGGATATTGCGAATTCACAGATATAGCGAAGTTTTCTTGGATTCCCAGTTATATAAATTAAATGAATTCCTTATACGGATATAACGAATTGCGGATATAGCGAAGTAATTTCACAGATCCTAGTGACTTCGTTATAAGCGAGTTTTACTGTATTTGATATGCTGTGTAAACATTATGAAGCAATCAAGCAAATGCCCCATTAATAAGGCATGATAAATTTCTTGTCACACAAAAGAAAACCTGTATGCATATATTTATGGGAATATTATTCATTATATGTTTTTTTTTTTAAATTTCACTTGGCATGGATATGCTTGCTGTCTCCTTACCTCGTCATTGTCAATGGCATTTTGCTATAAAGATGATGTCAACAAATTATCATAACAACACAAACTCAGTCTACGGAGAGTGGAAATTGCAGTATTTGAAATTTCACTATTATAAGAGAAATACCTCCCCTAAGACTTTCATCTTCAGTAAAAATTTGTTTTACATTTTGCTTTTATTTAAGTACACTTAAAACACATAAAAATATGTAGCAGTAAAATGTGTCCAGCATTTACTCCTTATAGGTTTTCTGTGGCCTTTGTATGCATACCTTGTTTGTGAGATTTACTGTGAGCTCGGTCACACAGTCCTGAGGTTCGGATACCCCGTTGTCTGTAGATACATACCGTGTTCGTTATGTTTACTGTGAGCTCGGTTACACAGTCCTGGGGTTTGGATACCACCGTTGTCTGTAGATACATACCGTGTTTGTTATGTTTACTGTGAGCTCAGTCACACAGTCCTGGGGTTCGGACACCCCCGTTGTCTGTAGCACCAGACGACCCCATTCTGATGTCTGTTCTAAAGCTGGGAAGAAACATTCCTCATAGTCCTGTAAAAAATACACAGCATCTCGTAAAAAAAAGATCTATTCTAGATACAGTTGAACCTCTTTATTCAAACTCGATGGGACTGAGAAAAACTTAGTGATATCTGCCGATTCAAGATATCGAGGTTAAAATAGATGAAGAAAATTGGCTGAGACATCTAACTCACTTTGACTTATCCAAGGTATTTAAGTTAATGAACCAAAGTTCAACTACACATCAAACCAAAAATTTGTAAAAGTGCTTAGCATAGTTTCATAAATTTCTGGTTAAAACTCTTTATAAATAAATGTTTAAGGAAATTTTACACAGTGTCAGTCCCAACATTTTTTTTCGAAAACAAGTCTATATATTTTAGTATATATTACGTAACATGTTTTAAACTTAAACATGTATAACCTTGCATACACTTGATTCTGTCTACCTTCCAGATTACAGGGCCTAGGGATTGGACAAAACTGACTCTAAACTATGTAAGGATACTTGCAATATGTGTTAATGTAGACATTTTTGGAATGGATGTTTTCATAGTAAATTTTTCAAATAACATTTCTGTCTTCATATTACAATGTATGATTTTGAACTGCAACAGTAACCCCATCCTTATTCTAGAGGTTACAACTTGAAAACTAAATTATTCTAGATGCAATGCTTGTAAACAGCTATTTACTGTTTTAACTAATTTCAACCTAGTGCTCTTTCTGGTATTACAGATCTTTAAGATTTCCAATTATATTCTTGGGTTTTAAAAAATTGTCCTTTATGCTTTTACCTGCAAAAATAAATTCCAGTTTTAATCATTAATGAACAAAGTTAATAAAAAAAAATTTTGAATCTCTATTGTGGTCCCATAAAGGATCCAGGGCCATGGTTTTGAACAAACTTAAATCTATGCTTTATATTACTTTTTAGCTGAATGTTTATTACCTTTTCTGACTTTGAAGTGAATGATTAAAATTTTAAAATTTTAGATTTTAAGAACCTACCCTATTTTCTTTCTTTTTTTTTTTACGAACTCCTATAGGAACTTTGCAATTGGTTAGACAGACAGACAGACAATAAACAAACTTTGGTCAGGAAAGCTCACCTGAGCCTCCTGCTCCATTAAGTTTAATATAACAAATCTGACAGAACAAGTCTTTTGTAAATAATCCAATGATATAACTTACTTCTTCATCCAGAAGAACAATAGATGAGCACTGGTAATCATAGACCATGGACCAGAAGTCTGCAATGGTAGATGGAAGGGGGTACTGAGTAACCAGGAATCCCTCCCTGTTCCAACTCGTCTGAAATACACAAGTCCACAAGGTTTTAAATAAATGTCATCCTACAGATATTGGTTATCAATACCATCAATGGTAAAAAAAATGTTTGTTTTAAACACAAAGTTTCATTATAAATTTAGCAATACAGCATTTACCCTGTATTCAGAGAAGGGGGGTTAAATTAATATAAAGGCCACAAATTTCAAGGTAATATGATCAACATAAGAACAATAATACTCAAGTGTTTTTCATCATGTGAGACACTAAAACATAATTTTCTTTTACATTTAAAGACCTAAATGAGAAAGACTGCTAAGATGGTTAGACTTCATCTGAAGCCTGAGTCAACAAAGAAGAAATGTAGGGATATGCAGTTAACAAAGTAAATATTCATAAATGTTAAAGTAAATATTATACTGTATATATCTAATAAACTATGTAAACTCACAGGCATTATCACAGCATTGATATAGTCAGCATCCTCTCCATAATTAGAGTCTAAACGAACCCGATAATTATCAACTGAAAAATAAAATTACATAAAAAAAGGATTTATTTAAAAATGATTTTATATCCTGCACATATAATTATGTTTATTATTTTTTTTAACAGTTTCTTGTACATGTAAATGAATAAAGATGATTGTAAAATTATTGTTCCCAAAAATGAACTTCAAGTTAGTAATGGTCTCCTCAACTCTCTTACTAACATTTCTTACTTCAACAATGTGTTGCAGAAATTAAAACTTTTACATGTACAAGCAAATTTACCTGGGAGATTATCCTGGGATCTATTTTTAGACTGATTACTGGGATGAAGAGCATCTTGGTAATCTGTCATCTGATATTCAGGTCGCAGCGCATTCAATCTCTATAACAGGATATCAATAATGAATCAGAGCACTATATTTTTGTCCACTAAATATCTGTAATTTAATTTGAATCAATATTTTGTTTCCCACTAAGTACCTCAAATTCTGTACTAATTCTTTGGACAACTTTAGGATCTTTGACTCCTTTGAATTTGGCGACCATTTCTCCAGATATTGCTGCATCAGGATTAGCAAATGCCTCCATCAAAATGAAGTGTAGGAAAGTGAACTGATCCTAAAACAGACAGCGGAGATTTGAATAGTTTAGAGAGTCGGTACAATGAAACCTGCTACAATGTATATTATTACAAAAGAACAAGAGTGCGCAATGAGATTTAAGCACATTTAGCTGCAGAATGATATTTATATAACCCCAATATAACTTTATCCAAATTTAACATTATCAAATTCTTAGCAGCCTAGACTTTGTTTGAAGATGTAAAAATGAGCAACAAGTTCCAAAATTCCAGAATGACAACATACCAGAGTCTGAATCATCTTTGTCCTGTTCTTCCTCATAGTTTTGGCAAAGCGGACAATGTCTACAGACCCGGTTTTACGTCCCTGTTTCCACAAGGCATCAAGTCCTATATAGGTGCCTGTTCTTCCTACCCCCGCACTGTAACAGACATCAATGATTTAAACATAAACTAAATGGTCACCCGCACTGTAACAGACATCAATGATTTAAACATAAACTAAATGGTCACCTGTCATTCCATTTATCGCTCAAAATTTGAGTTGAATTTTTTTTAAATAAAGGAAATTTTAAAAATACAAAAACTAGAAATATGTCCATAGGACATGAATGCCCCGCCGAGGGTATATTAGTAATGCAACATTTTAACACAAATTGAGAAAAGTGAGGTCAAGGTCAAAGGAAAGGTAAAGGTCAAAAAACATTGATGCAGTTGAATAGCTCTCATCGGTATGTATCAGCATATGAAGTTTGACACTAATTTAAGAAAAGTGAGGTCAAGGTCAGAGGAAAGGTCAAGGTCAAAAAATGTTGATGCAGTTGAAAAGGTTACATCAGTATGTATAAGCATATGAAGTTTGATGAAAATATTATGAATGGTTTCTTTAAAAATGAGCTAAACACTAATTTAAGAAAAGTGAGGTCAAGGTCAAAGAAAAGGTCAAGGTCAAAATATATTGATGCAGTTGAATAGCTCTTATCGGTATGTATCAGCATATGAAGTTTGACACTAATTTAAGAAAAGTGAGGTCAAGGTCAGAGGAAAGGTCAAGGTCAAAAAATGTTGATGCAGTTGAAAAGGTTACATCAGTATGTATCAGGATATGAAGTTTGTTAAAAATATCTTGAATGGTTTCATTAAAACTGAGCTTAACTCTAATTTAAGGAAAGTGAGGTCAAGGTCAAAAGAAAAGTCAAGGTCAAAAAATGTTGATGCAGTTGAATAGCTTACATCAGTATGTATCAACATATGAAGTTTGATTACACTTTCTTGAATGGTATCTTTAAAACTGAGCTAAACACTAATTTAAGAAAAGTGAGGTCAAGGTCAAAAGAAAGGTCAAGGTCAAAAAATGTTGATGCAGTTGAATAGCTTACGTCAGTAGGTATCAACATATGAAGTTTCATTACACTATCTTGAATGGTATCTTTAAAACTGAGCTAAACACTAATTTAAGAAAAGTGAGGTCAAGGTCAAAGGAAAGGTCAAGGTCAAAAAATGTTGATGCTGTTGCATAGCCCTCATCAATATCTATCAGCATATGAAGTTTGATAAAAATATCTTGGATAGTTTCTTTGAAACTGAGCTTTGAACAGAGCTAAACGCAAAGTGTGACGGAAGGACAGACGGAAGGACAGAAGGACGGAAGGACGGAAGGACGGAAGACGGACATGACAAACACTATATGCCCCGGCCATATTCATGGCGGGGCATAAAAATTACCTCAAATACTCCATGCAAATACTTTGTCCTTTATTTAACAGTATATCATTTAATGGAATATAATTCATCATTACTACCTCAAGTTGTTTATACATAATTATCAAGTCATTCTTCCTACATGAAGCATATCACTTAATTTACAGCTAACCTGCAATGAACCACAGTGGGCCGCGCTTCATACTCTGTACTGTTTCCTGTGACCTTTCGGAAAAACTGTAGAAGCTGGAAGGCATCCGGAACTCCGTGGTCCGGCCACGCTGTAAAGTGGTACTGAGTCACTATCCTACTCTCATCAGTCTAAAAAAGGGGTATTCCAAGGGTGTAAATATCAGTGTGTAAGGTCAAGGCTATCAGGTATTTGGGTCAATTAACATTACAGTACAGATACCAATGTTAACATCAATTTTTTATTTTGATTTTGGGCATTACTATACATGTACATGATTTCAACTGAAGGGTAAATATATTTTAGTAAATGTTACCTAACTATTAGGTATTCAAATTACATATAGTCTATAAAGTCCCACATATTGGAAGTCATGTTTTCTGTTTTATTTCACTAACTTTAATTCAAAAAGGTTACTGATATTTTTCAACAAATTATGTCCTTAACAGAGGTTTTGTATTTCCACATAGTAACATGAAACAGTATGTAAAATTTACAATGAGAAAATAAAAATAGTCTTCCTTGTAATAAAATAACTTATAGCAGGAAACTCTAAAGAGAATCAATAACACGGATCTAACATCTTGTTAAATAATGGCAACTAGAAGGAAGTCTGTGAAAGTAAATAGTCCTCATGTTTCTAAAGCAACAGGCTTCTTTTACATTAATATACTTACCTTTGCAAAAGGCCCATAAGCCTTGATGGCTAACAAAGTATCACAAATGTCTTGAGCAACTATAAGGAATCTGTGAAATATTGCATTTATATACATACCTTTTAAATTTAAATAAAAACTTCCAAACTTTAGACATTTAGAACTTGCCTTATTTTCAATGACAATTTAGTTGGAATCAGCTGCAAATTCTGTCCTTTTTTCTGCCTTCAGGGCTTTTATTTTTTTCTGTGATCTTGAATTTCCTGCAGGGCTTTTATTTTTTATCTGTGACCTTGAATTTCCTGCAGGGCTTTTATTTTTTATTTGTGACCTTGAATTTCCTGCAGGGTCTTTATTTTTTATCTGTGACCTTGAATTTCCTGCAGGCCTTTCTTTTTATCTGTGACCTTGAATTTCCTGTAGAGTCTTTATTTTTTATTTGTGACCTTGAATTTCCTGCAGGGTCTTTATTTTTTAATCTGTGACCTTGAATTTCCTGCAGGCCTTTCTTTTTTATCTGTGACCTTGAATTTCCTGCAGGGCTTTCATTTTTTATTTGTGACCTTGATTTTCCTGCAGGGCCTTTATTTTATATCTGTGACCTTGAATTTCCTGCAGGGTCTTTATTTTTTATCTGTGACCTTGAATTTCCTGCAGGGTCTTTATTTTTTATCTGTGACCTTGAATTTCCTGCAGGCCTTTCTTTTTATCTGTAACCTTGAATTTCCTGCAGGGCTTTAATTTTTTATTTGTGACCTTGAATTTCCTGTAGAGTCTTTATTTTTTATTTGTGACCTTGAATTTCCTGCAGGGTCTTTATTTTTTAATCTGTGACCTTGAATTTCCTGCAGGCCTTTCTTTTTTATCTGTGACCTTGAATTTCCTGCAGGGCTTTCATTTTTTATTTGTGACCTTGATTTTCCTGCAGGGCCTTTATTTTATATCTGTGACCTTGAATTTCCTGCAGGGCTTTCATTTTTTATTTGTGACCTTGATTTTCCTGCAGGGCTTACTTTTACATCTGAAATCTTGATTTCCTACAGGGCCTTACCATTATTTATGTGGGCTTGATTTTCCTGCAGGGCTTTACCTTTATATCTATGAGCTTGATTTTTTTGATGGGTCACACCATTTTAAATGTGAGCTTTATTTTCCTGTAGGGCCTTACTTTTTTTTTTTATTTGTGAGCTTGATTTTCGTGATGGGGAATTACCTTTACATCTGTGAGCTTGATTTTCCTGACTACAAATACTGGGAACACATTTTCAGAATCAGTGACGACTCTCAGCTTGTCGTAGCAGTTCATGGCTTTCTTTTCTTGTGGCCAATACTGATGGCATTTAAGCTATAGACAAGACAGAAAGCAAGTACAGTTAATCAGTTTAACAAAAAATTAAAACATGTCTCATTTATGCTATTAATGAAGTCATTTTATTTCATTTCAAGAAGTATACGTGTACTTCAAATAATGGTTTATTAATTGGATATAATGAATTTAAATATCACTGAAAATTGCTTTATACCTGCATATTTGCTTCCTATTACATGTACATTCATGTTTGATGGGATGAATATGTGAGTAGCTTTGAGTGTCAAAACAACACAGTTTTATCCTATGTATTTGTGAAACAACTCTCAAACAAAAGGGGGTGTATACCTACCCTATTCTTTTCTTTGAGGTTTGTTACCATGACAATTTTTCGGACATCTTCTTGCCAGACCATACTCCAAAAATCAGCTGTTGTACTTTTCAAAGGACCTGATAATTCAGATTTATTAAATTGCATGTAGTATGAATCAAGATTTAACTATAAATCTTCTTTTTGATAATTATAGCATTAGGGTTGGACACAGGTACTTAGCGATAAAGTGCATGTTTACACTGCTGAAACTATTTATTCTTAGCTAGAATGCTAAAAAAAGTTTTTTCTTGAGCTCTTTGTAGCTGTGTCTTTTAGCATCACTGTAATCATGACAACAGCTTGAAGCAGTTTATGTGAAACTTGCATTTCATAGCCAAAATGAACATTATTATTTTTGATAATATTTTTAAATTAACTTGTTTGTTGATCTCTTGTAAAATAAAGTTTACATAAAATCAGATGTTATAGTCTTTTATACATATGTTAATGTACGTACTCAAATCACATATGTTACATATCATATATTTTGATCAATAGATCCAGGTATCATTAAAATGTACTACATCAATTAAAAAAAATTTAGAAATAGTACCATGCCGTTTAGTGATGTTCCAATTAATCCATTAAATCGATTATGTAATCAAAATGGCCCCCGATTATAGATAATCGATGAAAATTTTGATAATCATTTAAGAGCTAAAAGTAAATTATTCCTAGGATTTCTTGATTCATTTTTCTTTTAAATTAACTAAAACTTAAATAATATCATAAATGAATCCAATGATACAAAACACATCAAAAATGCATTTTAGAAATCATTCCGGATTTTTTTTTTTACTTATTTACACTTCATTCAAAGTTTAACAAATTTAATACTTGAAATTAATCAATTATTAATCAATTATGGTGAATCCCATTATTCCAATAATCGATTATAAAAAAATATGATTTCCCATCACTAATACTGTTTCATCTTTAAGGGTATCCAAACCTACATAAAAAATCATTCAATGAGCTGAATTCCTAAGTGAAAAGCTTATTCCAATGAACATGAGCTGCACAGTGCCTTCTACATTCGATAATCTTGCCCATAGAAATAAATGCTGATTAGTCAAAATCAAAAAGCTGGAATATTCTTAAATTAGACAATGGAAAAACAACACATTTTACACAAATTTAATCAAAAAAATAAATTAAAACTCTAAGCAAATTCTTCAGTGCATAGTGCTTTAAAAATTTAACCAGATGTCTCTGATGAGACTGTAGCTCTACTGCTGGGTACTTGGACAGTCTTATTGAAATCTGACTGAAACTATAAAAAGAGTAGCATTTTTTAGAAAATTTCACAGGAATTTTAATTTTTTAAAACCTTGACAACATGGTTTGTCAAAATCAAAAAACCCATAAAAGTATTATGCATTTTAGTCTAGTCCACTTGTGTACCAAGTCCAAAACTAGTGGAGGAGTAATGTTTTGTAAAGGATACACAGAATTTAATTTTTATAAACCATGACAACCTTGTTTGTCAGAATCAAAACATAGGTAATCAGAGATTACAGAGCTCACCTCAACGAATGTTGCCTTTAAGTAAGGCAAAGTCCCACACTAAACTAATAATCTAGGAGTGTGCATCCCTAGATGCAACATTTATGCAATTTTGGTCTGATAGGGCTTGCAGTTACTTGGTAATAGACTTATCTGAAAACTTAAAACTAGTCACTCATCCAGAAAATGTAAGTCAAAACCAGCATCCGAAGCAAGTTTTGAGATTGTTCGTCCCTTGATGCATCATCCATGCAAGTTTTGATCAGATAGGCCTTATAGTTACTTGGAAATGAGATCTGCTCCAAAAATTTTAATCTGGTTATTCATCCGGAAAATGTAAGTCAGATCCAGCATCCAAAGCAAGTCCAGTAGTGTGAATCCTTAGATGTATCATCCATGCAAGTTTGGTCAATATAGGGTTTATAGTTACTTAGAAATGACATCTGCTCCAAAAACTTTGACCTGGTCACTCATCTGGAAAAAATAGGTCAGATCCAGCATCCGAAGCAAGTCCAGTAGTGTGCATCCTTAGATGTATCATCCATGCAAGTTTGGTCAATATAGGGCTTATAGTTACTTGGAAATGAGATCTGCTCCAAAAACCTTAACCTGGTCACTCTTCCAGAAAATATAGGTCAGATCCAGCATCTGAAGCAAGTCCAGTAGTGTGCATCCTTAGATGTATCATCCATGCAAGTTTGGTCAATATAGGGTTTATAGATACTTGGAAATGAGATCTGCTCCAAAAACCTTAACCTGGTCACTCATCCGGAAAATATAGGTCAGATCCAGCATCTGAAGCAAGTCCAGTAGTGTGCATCCTTAAATGTATCATCCATGCAAGTTTGGTCAATATAGGGCTTTTAGTTACTTGGAAATGAGATCTGCTCCAAAAACCTTAACCTGGTCACTCATCAGGAAAATATAGGTCAGATCCAGCATCTGAAGCAAGTTCAGTAGTGTGCATCCTTAGATGTATCATCCATGCAAGTTTGGTCAATATAGGGCTTATAGTTACTTGGAAATGAGATCTGCTCCAAAAACCTTAACCTGGTCACTCATCCGGAAAATGTAGGTCAGATCCAGCATCTGAAGCAAGTCCAGTAGTGTGCATCCTTAGACGTATCATCCATGCAAGTTTGGTCAATATAGGGCTTATAGTTACTTGGAAATGAGACTTGCTCCAAAAACTTTAACCTGCTCCAAAAACTTTAACCTGCTCCAAAAACATTAACTTGGTCATTCTTTAGCTGAAATTGCAGCATCTGAAACCTTGACTGGTACAATGAAACACACTAGAAGCATCCTCCATGCATCTCTGACTAATATAGGCCATAGAAGTACTTGAAAAGAAAACTGCTCCAAAAACCTTAACCTGGGACGCCGACGCCGAGGGTATTACATAAGCTCCCCCAACTTCGTTGAGGTGAGCTAAAAACCATCAAAATCTTTATGTATCTTAGTGTAGTGAGCTTGTGCACAAAGTCATCTTGATATTGGACTGAAACTATAAGAGGAGTAGGGTTTTGAATGAATTTCACATTTCTATTTTAGTAACCATGGCAATACCATTTGTCAAAATCAAAAACCAGTATTATGTATCTTAGTACAGTGTACTTGTGTACCAAGACTTACTGAAATTGGACAAAAACTGTAGGAGGAGTAGCATATTGAGAGAATTTCACAGAAATTCCTGTTTAGTAACCATAGCAACACTGTTTGAAAAAAAATCAAAACCAATAACAAGAATTATGTATCCTAGAAAAGTGTTCTCTTGTACCAATCTTATTGAAATCAGACCAATAATGTTGGAGGAGTAGTGTATTGAAAGAATTTAACAGAAATTTCTATTTTTAGTAACATGGTAAAACCGTTTAATGAAATCAAAAACAGATAAACAGAATTATGTATCTAAGTATAGTTACTTGTGTACCAAATCTTACTGAAATTCGACGAAAATTGTAAAAGGAGTAGTGTTCTGAAAGAATTTTTGAGAAATTTCTATTTTCAGTAACCATGGCAACATCATTTGACAAACTAAAAAGCTGATAAAAAGCATTATGTATCTGAGTATAATGTTCTTGTGTACCAAGTCTTATTGAAATTGGACCAAAACTGTAAGAGGAGTAGTAATTTGAAAAAGGGACACCTTATTATAGCAAAGCTCTTCTGGTCTCTGACCAGTAGAGCTAAAAATTAGTGTTAAAAAAAGTAAACATTAAATTAACTAGAACTGTCCAAAAGGGACAAATACCCCCCGCTGGGTTTTTTAGAGAAGGTGCCAAATTACTAATATTTTATGGATCTAAGTGGTTATATTCACAATTTTCTTATAAACATTTAGAGTAAAAATATAATTGCTCATTATATTTTTTAAATGAATGAAACTAAGGTGCAACCTAATAAAATAGCAACACTAATACATTGTAATTACTTTGTTTTTTAATACATTGCAACTATCTTTCATCTTTGTGGGACATGACACTGAAATTGATTGTTGAAAAAAAACAACATACATGTATTATACAAAATCAAATTAATCTTGATAACTTTATATTAAATTTATTTTAAAAATAAAAGGCTGGTCAGTACTTTGACAGACAATAAATTACAATTAAGAGAATTAGAGAACAGAAATCTTTAATTCTTTTGCCAAATTCCCAGGAGATATAGATAACGCCTGCTTGATCAGAGATGCCCTAACAACTTCCCACACTGAACTCATTAATTAATCTTTAACTGGATGCATGTCCATTCATTACTCCCAAGGGACAAATGGATTTACACTATCTGCTGTGTAATGTAAAAACTGTTTTTAATACCTGGTGATGCTTTTTTTTTTTAGTTTTAATGAGTAGTTTTAAGCTGTAGTTCACATTTTTGTACACTTCAGATGTTCTAGATTCTATGTCTCAAACCTTAGACATTTATAAACCCATAATGACTAAGTCAATAAAAATGAAAAAAAAAAAATCTGTAAAATGCAGAAAAATTATCCAATAATGTTGAAAATACCAGGTGTACATCTTCATATGGTAGATAATGAGTGTACAAATTTTCATACAAATCTATGCAATAGCCTCTGAGAACAGGTCCGGACAAAACCATACAATAAAAATGAAAAAACACCTGTAAAATGCAGAAAAATTATCCAATCATGATGAAAAAACCAGGTGCACACCTTCATATGGTGAATAATAAGTGTACAAATTTTCAGACAAATCCTTGCAATAGTTTCCGAGAAACAGCCTGGACAAAATCTCGTCTACAGACAGACGGACAGACAGACGGACATGGTGATTCCAATATACCCCCCCTAAACTTCGTTTGCGGGGGGGTATAAAAAACATGTTCTTTAAGTTTCACTGAAGAACTGTACTTTTGTCAAAGCATTACATGGAGAATACATACCTTGTGTTGCAATATATGCCTTCTTTTTCTTAAAACCCTGCATTTAGAAATAAATTTTCTATTAATCCACTTATATAAAACCAGAAGTCTCTGATGAGACTGTGGCTCTACTGGTTTGTACTTACATTAGAGGAAAAGTTGCATCTGTATTATAGTTTTATAAATACATGCATCCTATTCACACATAAACTGCAGAATTTTTTTTTTTACAATGAGATAACAGACACCATACTATAGAGCTGATAGACATGCATGTACATCACACATTTTCTCTACATAATACTTCATTGGATGCTTTGAAGGTACCGAGCTGATACTCACATCTATATAATTAGCATTAATATAATCTGTGTGTCCTGGAGGTAAACCTCTTAATTTAACTCGGGAGTGATCATCTACAAATGAAAAGATTCAGATTATATGACTTAAGATTCAGGATGTGGTGGAAAAATCATATTTTCAACACATTATTATAGAATTTCATAATGAACACAGTCCTCAATCCATTCCCTAAAGAATGAATAATGAACAGTTAAGTAACAGTTTTAGCATTATAAATTTGCTGAGAGTTGATCAAACGTTGAGAATTCAAAATATCATCAACTCTGAATCCTTTGATATTTTCGATATTATTTTGCAAAAGTGAACACTTCAGAATGTCAAATGAAGACTTTTCGAAAGGAAATCTTGTCATCTCTATGTCAATTTTAGAGACATTCCTAACAAAAGTTTTAGCATGCAACACCTAGAGTAAAATACTTACATGCTAGCATATTTGTGTATCTATTCTTGGGCATATTTTCTTCCAGTTTGCTATCCTTTGTTGGTAGAAACATTCCATCTGGCAAGTCCTTTATACAGAAACAAAACTTATCATTACTTTATGTATTTAATGAAAGGAATACTCCATGAATGTAAAAATATAAGCTATACTAGGCAAAAAAAAAGACCTCCAGTTTACATCTTATTACATTTAAAAAATCTGGTACATGTAATGTGAAAATAATTCTACTCTCTATCTTTCATGTTGATTAAAATATCACAGAAAACATGAAATATGACAAATCTTACTTGTCATTACTATAAATGAGTACAGACCTGGTAGTCAATGGCAAACTGATTATCTTCCTGTAGCTTGATAACATGACCTTGAATGTCCTTGACAGGAATAGAGTAACCTTGAGGTGGCCCATCATAAACCAGATCACCATCTTCATCATACTTGTAGGGGAGAGAGTCATCAAAATCTATGTACAGAAAAAAAAAGTCCGAAGGAATTTAAGTACTGAACAAATTACATATATAGGATCTCCCATGATTTGTAGTTGGATATGATTTTTATCCAACGAGTTGTGTGTTTTTTATCCCTGAGCCTTGGCGAGGGGATAAAAACACGAGTTGGATAAAAGTCATATCCAACTACAAATCATGGGAGATTCTTTTTATCCCATGTTTAATACTTCACAACCAATGTTTTACACTGTTTTATATAGGACTCCACTTTATTCTACTTCATCACGCTAACGCAAAAACCATTGTGATGTCACAACTGCACTTAACTATGGGTTATGAAAAAAATATCCAATGAGTCATATCCACGGGATAAAGGGGTAAACATGGGATAAATACATATATCTAAATCTGCTTTTGGTGAACTCATTAATATTACTCTAGCCTAAATACCTTTATAAACATATATACATTTAATTGATTCACTCAGAAACCTGAGATTTGATACTGTGCTACAACTGGTACAATGTATATAATGAAACTTTTCATCCATTATCCTAACCTTTTTTTACGGCACCATTGGTTCCATTAGGTATGGGTGTTAATGGCATCATATCAGTAATGACGACATCATTGCCTGCTATCTCTTCATCAGAAATTTTCTGGCGATTGCGTTTCCTAAAATAGGAATTATCTAGTGATTAGACACTGACTTCTTCTTGCAGTTATATGGATAAAAACACTATCTTAAGTATTATGATATTAAAAATTACTAAAGGTAAAATTCAGGTTTCATGTACAAAGTGGAAGTAAGAATATATTAAAATGCAGTTCAATATTAACATATTGGATCAAAGTCATGATAAAAACATGGACAGTAACAATAATGTTACATTATTACAATAAGATACATTAGTTATTTTGCAAGTTTCTCTTAATTGTCAATATAGAAAGTCTCATGTTTAGTCCTTTGAGGTCTTGTGATAATTGTGTAAGTAATATTGTACTAGATGTAGTGTAAACTTACTTGATGATGAAAAATCCTGAGAAAAGAACAGCCAGAATGATAATAAACAAGAGGAGAGAGGGAATTACAATAGCTACCAGAGAACTCACAGGCACTGAAAAAAAAAATCACATTACTTATTACTGCTAAGATTAAAGATAAACATTTTTTCACAATCTCAAAAAAAAAAAATAAATAAATAAATTATGTGCTGATAAATTCTAGTATCTAGCAATCTTTCATTCACATATCTCTGTCTCCTAAGGTAACAATATATAAACCAATATTACAACACTTACATGTTTCTGAGGACAATATAGATGTTGTTGATGAGCTAACAAAGGTGGTCTGTGTTGGAACAAAAGTTGATGTAACTGCCGTTGATTCAACTGTTGTAGTCTCTGGAGTTGAAGTTGTTGTTGCCACAGTCTGTGTTGGAGTTGTAGACCTTGAAGAAATTGTTCTTGCTGTGGTTTCTGTAATACCAGAGGTTATCTCTATAGTTGATGTTGTAGAAGTTGATAACACTGTTGACACTGTAGTTGATTCTGCAGGAGTTGTAGTGTTTATCTGTTGTGTAGTTAGTTCTGGGGGGAGGGTAAAGTTTGTTGGTTGTGTCGTTGATTCTGTAGAGAGTGTAGTGTTGATTGTTTGCCCTGGAGAGGTTGTGCTCTCTGTTGCTAACAAAGTTGTCTCTGTTGTCCCAGTAGCCTCTTCTGAAGTAAAAGTTATAACCGTGGTTTCTGTTGCAGTTGAAGGTAAAGTTGATTCAGAAGTTTCTACAACTTGTGTACTTATTGTAGATGGATGTGTGGTTGATTCAGAAAATGGTGTTGTTGACTGTGATGTTGAGATAGTGGAGATCTCCATTTCATTTGATGGCTCTGTTGATTCAGAAGTTGTTGACTCCAGTATTTGTGTTGTTGTTCCTGATGTCTGTATTGTTGAGCTGGAGGGCGGTGCTGTTGATTCAAATGACTCTGTTGTTGATCCAGAAAATGTTGTAGTTGATTGAGTTGTTTCAATTGTTGTTAGGGATTCCCCTGTAGTTGATGTAACATTTCCTGTTTCTGTTGATGTTGTTCCAGTAAATTCATCCACTGATGTTGATACTGATGATCTGGTTGAGCTTTCAGTTGAAGCCAGGGCTGTTGATTGAGAAGACACTTCAGATGGCAATTCTGAACTTGAAACTGGAGGCACTGTTGTTGATAGTACAGTAGTCTCAAATTCTGTTGTCGTAGCCGCTGTTGTTGGTGGCATAGGGGTTAATGTTGATTCACTAGAAGTCACTGTTTGAACAGCAGAAGTACTTGATTTTTCCATTGTAGTTAAGTCTGATCCAGTTGTAGAAACTGTGGTTTGACCTTCATATGTGGTCACTGATAATTCAGTTGAAAAAGCAGATTCAGTGCTCAATGTCTGTGTTGAATCAGTAACACCTATAATTGATGTACCTGTTGTCTGTCCTTGTGTAGATGGGAACGTAGAACTTCCTTTTGTCTGAGATTCATCAGATATGAGTAGTTCTGTACTTGACTGGGTTGTGAACATGGAAGTTGTTAATGTGGGAACACTTCCTCTTGTTAGTGATGTGCTTTCAATGCCAGCTGTTGTTACAGATCCTTTGGTTGTGCTAGCACTCTCTGTCTGTGTATTCATACTGTCACTTGTGGTGGATTGAGCCCCCATTGTAGTTTTTGTGGTTATTTGACTTTCAGATGTTGTTTTAATTTCACTTGTGGTACTGTTTAATGGCCCAATTGTAGACTGAACCTCAGTACTTGTTGACTGTGTTCCAGTTGTGCCTGGACTTTCTGATGTTGTTCCAGCTTTAGCAGTAGTATCTACACTTTGTGTAGAAGTCGTATGATCACCAGTTGTGGTAGGAGTACTACCAGAAGTTGTCACTGGATTTTCAGTGGTGGTTTTTTGGACTGTGGTTGTAATTTCACCAACTGTGGAGGCCATACTAGACGTACCATTTGCTGTAGATGTAGTTTGGATTTCAGATGTAGTCACACTTTCAGCAGTTGCTATCGAGCTAGTAACATTAGCAATCAAGGTAATGTCTTCAGTTACTGTAGATTTACTAGAAGTTGTTGTATCTTCCATTGTGGACATGCTAATTTTCGTAACACTTGCAGAAGTGGTTTCACTAGTGGGGGCACTTGTTGTTGCTGCAGTTGTACTGCCTGTACTGCTTGTAGATGAGGTTGACATACTTGTACTTACTGATTTAGTTGTCATTTCATCATCAGTTGTTGTTTCACTCTCACTGCTTGTTGTGTAAGGAGTTGTAGGAACTGTTGTGATTTCATTAGCAGTAGTTGTTTCTGAAGCAGTAGTTAATTCCTCTGCAGTAGTTAATTCTTCAGTAACACTTGTTATTTCACTAGCACCAGTTGTTGTTGCAATAAAAGCACTTGTTATTTCATTAGCACCAGTTGTTGCAATATTAGCACTTGTTATTTCATTAACTTTAGTTGTTATTTCATTTACATTAGTTGTTATTTCATTCACAGTTGATGTTATTTTATCATCAGTAGTGATATCAGTTTCTTCGGTTGTGATTCTACTAGTAGTTATTGCTTCACTTACAGTTGTTATTTCACTATTAGTAGTTATTTCATTCACATTAGTTGTTATTTTCTCAGCATCAGTTGAACTATCAGATTCTTCTGTTGTAATTTTACTATTGATTACACTTGTTATTTCATCACTACTAGTTGTTATTCTGTCAATATTAGTTGTGATTTCATTCCCAGTAGTTGTTATTGAGTCTTCTTCAGTTGTGATATCACTGACACTAGTTGTTATTGAGTCTTCTTCAGTTGTGATATCATTTATACTAGTTGTTATTGAGTCTTCTTCAGTTGTGATATCACTGACACTAGTTGTTATTGAGTCTTCTTCAGTTGTGATATCACTGACACTAGTTAATACTGAGTCTTCTTCAGTTGTGATATCACTGACACTAGTTGTTATTGAGTCTTCTTCAGTTGTGATATCACTGACACTAGTTGTTATTGAGTATTCAGTTGTGATATCATTTACACTAGTTGTTATTGAGTCTACAGTTGTGATATCACTGACACTAGTTGTTATTGAGTCTACAGTTGTGATATCACTGACACTAGTTGTTATTAAGTCTTCTTGAGTTGTGATATCATTTACACTAGTTGTTATTGAGTCTTCTTCAGTTGTGATATCACTGACACTAGTTGTTACTGAGTCTTCAGTTGAGTTTTCATTTACACTAGTTGTTATTGAGTCTTCAGTTGTGATTTCGTTTACCGTATCAGTAACAGAGGACTGTGATGAAGAAGAGTTGTTTATGTCCGCAGCCAGAGGTACAGGCTTCTCCTCAGTTGTCACCTCATAGCCCTCCTCATCATATTGTGCTGGAAAAGATCAAATAAGAAGTGAAGATTCTGTGGAGTTTACTAAAGCACTAACCAGAAGTTTCCAATAAGACTGCATCTACCGGTATACTGGTTTGTTCTTATAATTAAGGAAGAGAAAAGCTGCATCTGAACTTCAATCACTTTTAATTTACATTTATAGCATTACGTATTTGAATGTTTATGGAAATCAAATTTATAGAATGAGGTATTTAAATATTTATGGAAATCAAATTTATAGTATGAGGTATTTAAATATTTATGGAAATCAAACCAAAACTAGAAAAAGTGACATTTTAAAAGAATAGAACTAAGAGACTTCAATCTATAATAAATTTTCAATATATGATCAAGTTTATTCCATCCAAAAACCAATGTACAAAACATCTGATGTTCTTTGGTTCCATTCCTCTGGGTCAGGGACCATATTCAAATTTGTTCCCAATTATTTTGTTCAGCTACTTCAGAAAATTTACAAATGATGGGCAGGTACTGATAGCAATAGGTAACCTTTGTGACTTAGATGTTTATGTAAAGTAATGGTAAAAACTGATAAGTAAAGATAGGAACTGATGAAAAAAGTTTCAATCACTGACTTATTGCATGCCTTTTTGTCCTTGCAATCTTAAATGGCTTGGTGGTTCGCCTTAGATGCTATAAATGTAACAAAGGAAATGCTCATGAGATTGATAAAAAGATTAATGCTTTAAAAGTAAATTTGCACTTCCAGTGTACAAAATAAAAATACACCAGCTTAAGAAGCATGGGAAAATTGAATCAGATTTATGAATAGTTTAATATTGCTGAGACGCCAGTATATTTCCTGTTGATGACCTTCAAGTACTTTGAATCTTTGAATGTACAGCCCAATGTTCATACAATGAAGGTAACCCCAATCACACAGTTCTGTACAGAATGGGCTAAATGACCACCTACTTATACAAAGGGTATGCCAAAAAACTTAATTAACAAGAATTATATAAGATAGTTCAAACTTAGTTAGAACAACTGGCATAAAAGAACATTTAGTAATATATGCAAACTCTGCTGTTTTTCTTCCAAAAACTCTGCCAAATTGCAACAAAAATTTCCAGTTTTATGATGCAGTCTCCTCAGTTTGATATAGGAATGGATTCAGATTAATTTTTTTGACCTATAAAATATTTATCATAATGACATAAATGAAATATATTAAATGTTTTTAATTTGTATACAACAGAAAAAAATATAGTACAAGTGTAATAAATATTATTTTGGACAAATTTTGAATCTCTCTGTCATTTGCAATCTCTGAACAATTATAAATTTTGACATTTTTTACTGACTAGACATCTAGTTTCTGTTTATACTTAAATCCATCCTTTCTTGACCTGAAGTAAACAAGTTTGTTCCAGGATACAGTTAAATATACTTTTTTTCCGAATTGAAATTAATAAACCAAAAAGGAAATGTAAGGCAATGATAATTTCTAGTGACACACTAATGCATTTTGAAGAGTCTCCTTAAACACTTGTCCATATGCTCTTCCTTAACAATAACTCAGTACTTTTATTGTATGTTTAGTGAGAATGTGTAGGAAATATAAGTTATTGTATTTATTTTCTACTTCTACACATTATCTTACACTGCTGCACTCTATTGTATCTGAAGAGATAAAAAGCTTTTCTCTGAACAAATCTCAAATAGAAACAAACCTTGATATTTTCAATATCCAATAAGCATAAACAATTTAGGTAACACTGTATTTTATTCTGTGTATATAAACATGCATCTATCATATGACTTTCCTAAAATAACACATTCTATATCACTTCATAACTATACCTGTCAGTGGTGATGGACTACATGTACAAATGAACAACACTCAACTTTTCCCACTTCTATATATGTTATCTACTTCACTAGTGTGACAAATATCCACATTTCCTAAATGTTGGTCAATCTTAAATCCTCTCACATTATTTTTGTCCTCAAGACAAAGCTCAAGTTCAAAAATAAAACATTCTGTGGACCAAGCCCTCTTCATAAGGGCCATCAAGCACAATACTGAATCCCCAAAATAAATACATTTACAGGTTTTATAAAGTATATTATTTCATGATTATATCTTTAAATTGACAATTTGAAGATATTAATGTGTGCATCAACTAAACTTTTTACAGCTGATAAACAGACATACAAAAGAACTCAATAATGCAGAATCCCAATCAACGGTCCAAAATTTCATATCAAAAACTGAAATAAATACAGAAAAATTTCTCAGACAGATATCAAATTATTCACAATATAAAAAAAAATTAAGGTTCATCTATCTGAATGAAAATTAAGGTTCTCCTCCAAAAGTCAATTTGTACTCCAAACAAACAGACAGATAAACAGGGGGGGGGGGGGGGGGGGAGGGGAGAGGGGTCAATCAAGGGAACAGAGTGCTGGATGTGGGATAAAAGTTCCTCCCCTCTTCTGACAATTAACATGTAAATGTCAACATTTTAAAACATCAAACAGGAAGTCAGGATGAGTTTTTCTTTGTTACAGTACTAAGTGAGTATTGACATCCAGAGAAGGATGTTTAGAAGACACATAATCCTAGGATATGATATAATTTATATAAAAAAATAATAATAATAATAGAAGATATATATGATAATATCCAACAGATGAAAGCTGACATGTCAACTACAGCCAAACTTCCTTTATAGTAAAAAAAAATCTTGTTATCGATGTACATTAAGGGATGCATTATTGCCGTCAAAATTAACAAGTTTTGCGTGTCAATCAGTACTGGTCCACTTAAAAAGCTGACATCGATAAGCTAAGACCACTGACCAATTAAGTGACCACTTCCTCCTAATAACAAATGTAACTTGTGGTACATAAAATTAACTTACTAGTGTATGTAACCACCTAGGTTCACTAATCCTCAATTATATTTCACAGTTTATCTCCCAGGAGGAAATCGTAAGAAGTGTGTGGTCGAAATCAAGTAATCAAGGAAGTACGACAGAAAAACAAAGGTTAAGCTGAATTTATTATTGGGGGGATACAAAGGTAAAAGCAATACAAATGTATATAGGCAACAAGATTCTTTAATTAGGGGATATAAAATGACAAAAATGTTATTTAGTGCAGAAGGTACAAAAGCAATGTACACGTATATGTTTCTGGAAAGAAATGCATTAGGCAAATATGTCTTCAGGGGGAAAATGGGGGTGAGAGTGGGATTAAATGAGCACATTTTTCTATCTTATGGAGATACACTGTACAATGAAGAAGCAACTACATGGTGACAAACATACTGTGGGACTGATACAATGGCAACATGGGAGGGGGCATGTTGGACAGAGATGTCAAAGAAAATTATGTGTGTTCCATTGGAAGAAATACCATGCATGACAACTGCCTCTATCTTAAATGGTCACAGGTTGGGGAGATAAACAGAAAATGTCCCATTAGGAAAGATACAAGCTTAGGCAATATGGGGGGGGGGGGGGGAGAAGTGGGAGGGGTGTTACAAAGGAAACATGCTAATCTTACTAAAGGACATACAAAGGAAACATCTGTGTCCCATTGGAAGAAAAGTTTCATGCATATCTTAACCTAGAGTTGGGATTAAGTGCATATCACAAGTGAGATCGAGATACAAAAGCAACATCTTAACTGATGAGGTATCCTAAAACATAATAAATGCTGATTTCTAAAATTGTGATGCTGTCTATTAAAGTATTTATGCTCAATAAAATACTTTATATTTTTTTTTACAAACATTTCAATACACTATGTACACAGCCTAAGGAGAGGATAAACAAAAGCTAATTATCTCAATATAAATGAAAGTAACTATATATGCTCTCAAATTTCTCCTTTAATTAGATGTGTCAAAAATTCCAAAATCTATAACAAATACTGTACCATAACTTTATAACATTGTCCCCCAGAAAACAAAGCACACCTTTCTACTTTTAACCTTGAATGTCTGTAGTTGGGATATAATGTCCCCTTTCATGTCTGACATGTAGACTGTGAAATGAAGGAAGTGCTGGGTATTCCGTTGTCAGTAATGGTCCTCTGTGTGGGTAGCTGTGAGGGGATTACATCTAATAAATCACTAATCTTACAAGTAAAACTGGGCCCAGCCATTTATACCTACATCCTATACTTACTAAACAAACCCAATGCTTCTCTGTAGTGTGTAGCTTACAAAGTTTGGCAGTTCACTGTATCTTTATTAAAAATTGTTTAAAAAATTTGGTTTAAAAAAATCATCTTTCAATTGCTCTTTGATAGTGGCCCACAATTAAAATACTTTGTAAATGATTATTTTCCTTAATTCATTTAAGCATTTTAGTATTCACGTGCATATAACAAAAGATAACTTCTTGAACAAGTGTTAACTAATACCTTAATAGAATGAAATTAAACTCCATAATAATATAGTAAACAAAGGCACAAACTTTAAGATGGTTTAAATGAGGAAGTTTTTTTTTCCAGTGATCAGACACACAAATCTTTTCAACAAACCTGCATCTATTTGTTCACACAATTTAGGACAGAAATCAGCTGATTTGTCTATCCTTCCCCCATCCCTCTGCTAGACTGGAAAGGTTTGTTTATGTATATACACACTGAGAGCTAGAAGCTGGAAATGTTTAACTTAATCTTTATTAGTTTATAACAACTGGCTGTTATAACATAGAGTTATATACATCTTGCATTCCTTTAACATAAGGGTAATGAATTGGAGTTGTATATTCTGGGTCAAGTGAAAATTGCCTAGGATTGGGGTATCGTAAAAGTTACAAGTGGCACTGGATTTTTGTGTGCCCAATGCTGTTTGCCAAGTCCAAAATAAAACTTTTATTTCATATTCATTTCAATTATTCCCGACATAAATAATCTGCAGATAATAGCCTTCTTCCTAAACTAATAATGATATTTAGTCCAAAATAGTATCTCTTCCTAAATTTACTCTCATCTAGCTAGCAAAGTACTTTAAATCAAGT